AAAAAAAAAAAAAAAAAAAAAAAAAAAAAAAAATACACATCATAGTAAAACCAATACCTTCTCAGCTTCGCATCGAAGCTAAAAAAGTTGATAATCCTATAAGTTCTAAGGGATATATATTTTATAACAGATAAATGAAGTAAAATTGTATGAAAATAAATTATAATTAATTTGGTCACTACCAAAATTTATTAAGAATCCTATTTACATTTTAATTATGATATCAACTTGCACTTTTTATAAATATAGCGTTTACACAGTACAAAATGTTCCAACATATTTTCTGACTTATTTAATAATATTTGATCCAGCGAATATTGTGTAATACTTTTATTACAATTATTAAAAAAGGTTTTGTTTTTATTGTGATATGTGTTTTAATTTCTAAAATTTTATGTGTTGACATCTATAATTACCAAATGACTGCCATAAATAAAAAAATGCTATTTTTGTGTTTAAATTTTTTATTTCATATTATATATTTTCAATTTTAAATTGCTATAACTTTTTGAAAAATGTGTGGATCAACATTATATTGTTTTAATAAATATTTATGTCTTTTACTTTAGGTTAAACAGTATAGACATATAAGAGGTATGTACTCTATTTAACCCTCTTTAGAAAAAAAAATTAATTTAATTTATATATTAATTATAATAGTAGTTGGGATTAAGGTGAGGAAAAAGAAAAGGAAGAATTATAAATATATGCATGAAAGAATTTTGTCGGTTTCATTCTCATCTAATAAATACATTAAATAATATAATATACAGCCCTTCCAAAATCATTAATTGTCTCTGCCTTGTTTACAATTTTGATCTACGTTAGTTATGGAAGTACGAAATATACAGTGTTGTTAAAAAATGTTTAAAAAAAAAACGTAACAACACTGGCAATATGCAACTATTTTATAATTTCTCCATAACAATTACAATACTAAATTACTGAACATTAGTTTCATGCTAAATTGAATTACTATAATAAGTAGTTATTAATATATTACACTAGTTAAAATATAAATAAGGAAGTAGGAGTTGATGTAGTTTTTGGAATAATTTAATAATTCCTTCTAAAATTTAAACACAATATACAGATTTGCATCATTTTTTATAGTAGTGATATTAATCAGTTTTAGATATCATCTATTCTTGTTTTAACTATGACGTGACCCCGCGTTCTACCATTTATTTTAGTGTTTGTATAAAAAGCTCTTAGTAGATTGTTTTTCCTCGACAATTTAAGAATAAGCATTTTGTAATATTTTTCCTAGTAAAAAAATAATAGTATAATTTTATGTTATTTTTAATTAAAATCTGTTAAATGTAATTAATGATTAAATAAAGAAAAACGTTCTGGTAATATGTGTCTCGATGCTTTATTAATCTCTTAAGTGAAAAATCACGTCATTTTTGGTGAATATGTTAAATTTTTAAAGTAAAACTTCTGAGTATGATCTTATCACAAATAAATTATTGATGAATCTATTAATAAAGGTATTTTCCTTCTAACATATAAAACAAAAATTCTTATTTATCAGTCAATAATCAGACCAGTCTTGTCTTATAGCATTCAAATATAAAGACCAGCAAAACCAACAAACATTCGATTTTCAAAATCGATAAATTTGGGACATTTTTTTCTTGAAAATGTCATAACTTTTATAAAAATAAATGAATTAAAAATTTTTTTTTATATAAAAACCTTACGTATTTTCCATTTTGCTTGATATAAATTTTTTGAAATCCTAACTATTTACCTGCCCACAGAAGGGATTCAGATTAGCAACACGTCCACTTTATGGTGCGACCTCACTGTGCTACAATTTTTTTTAACAATGTTTACAATATAGGACTATATTTAAAATATATTTTATGTAATTTTTCGCTATTATAAACAAATTTTAAAAATTAGTTATTTTATTAAATTATTTTTTAGATTTGAAGATAGTCATTTAATTAACAAGTGTTAAAGAAAAAATTGATATCAAAACTCTCAGTTTAATTCAGTAGTTACGTTTTGCATAATTTTTAAGTTTCTTAAATTTGGAATTTTTCTATAGTATCGTACGTTAGTCCAAACATGTATTTGAAATTGATTTGGTTTTGTTTTTGTGTATAGTAGTATTGAAAACTAAATAACATTTATTTATCAAAATCATTCACGATACATTTTCACAAAAATACAAAAAAGACTATATTTTATACTTAGGGTTTTTAATATTAATTGTAATTTTTTTTATACATGAATACTTTCATTAAACAACTATTAATTTTTATTTATTATAAATGCTTTCAATTTATAAATTATTAAGAATTGTAAATTTGTCGTATAATATTCTAATAAAAAATAATAAATTATAAATAGATAATTAATATTAATGGTTATATAAATTTTACTAGAACATACTAATTGGACTTGCAAGCTAAAGCCGCGCAAATACGTTGTTGTAATCTATCACTGCACCACGACTGAGTTGGGTCCTCTGGGATCCTGGTACGCTGTTGAAATGCGTTCATACCACACGGAGCTGAGCATAATGACCACTCTGTCCATTCCGAGTACCTGCATTCTAATAAAATTTAATACGATTTTTCTAATAAGTATTCACTACTATTTATTTTGAAGTTACATGAAAAAATAATTAAATTTACTTAAATAAATAAAACTCAATGCTTACAGAAGCCAAACAAATCAGTTAAGCTACGAAAATAAAATTTACTGTGTTAGTTTAAATTTTAATTATAAGTATTTTAGTAGATTAAATGTATGTGAACACATATAAACTTATATAATAATGCTTACTGCATTGTTTGCCTCGACAAGATCTTTGATCAATAAGCTTTTTCCGACATTTCTTTTGATCCATTGGATTTGTGGGATACTAAAATTAAATTAAACAGAAAAATCATTAGTTTCAATGCGTAACTGAACAACTATTGGTTTTTATCTTAAGTTATGTAAATTGATCAATCTTTACTGTACCGATTTTGAACAACTTTACATATAAGATCACAAAATGTAACTAGTTGAATCTTCAGACTTCAAAGTTCTGAAAAATTCCCCACATTTCCCGAAATAAAGGTAAATGACCCAAAAAGTTACAATAATTTTAATTATTAATCTATAGTTTTATAAAAATTATTTTTATACAGTAGATGTTGGTATTTTTAGTTTTCATTATTTATTGAAATAAATTTTTGAAAGAAGACGATTACATCTTATCTAAACTTTTATTGACAACAAACTTTTTTGAAATTATTAACCAAAGTACAGTGAGAGTCGAAATCGCCATATCTTTTTATCTTTTTAATTCTTGATAATATTCAAGAAAACCTGACTTCTTTAAACTTCTTTAAAGCTAAATCAATATTCATTAAGACTAAAACAGAAAAAAGGTTCAATAGCAAGACATCTAAAGTCAGTTAAGCCAAAAATAATAGAATTCTGTAAATTTTTGTATAATATTGGAATACATAAATCATTTTAAATTATATAAAAGTTAATTGAGATCACTTAATATACTATTAGATTAAAAAAAAAATAAAAGATTTTACAACTACATGTTTCCTATTAATAATCGGCCTTTAAATTCGATAGTCATGTCATTTTTGGTAAATATGATAAATTTGTTTCAATACGCATCGCAGAATTTTACAAAAGTGTCAGATATCAATTAATAGTAATCCAAAAAAAGTCTATATTTCACTACATTGAATCCCGAATGTTGTTAATCTATTTTATTTAAATAATACTCAAATATAATAAAAAAAAAAAACCCCAGCACAAGGGGGTCGCGGCACAGTGGTGACATGGCATAGTTGGATCAAGTATAATGATATCTGATAGTGATTAAAATCACTATCGAAATAAAACGTTTCGATGCAAATCTTTAGATAGTGTTTAATTTTAAAAAATTGGTGTATTATTTCAAAAGCTACATGATCTGCTAGTTCCTTATTAATATCCTGATTAAGATAAAGTATGTCGAATGAAAAAGGGATTATTAAAAAATATTATTTCTCAAAAAAAAATTATGTTGATCCATACACTTTTCAATTAGTTATAGCATTATAATGTTAAAAATGTAAAAAATAAAATCGAGAATTTTCACACAATAATAGCATTCGGTAGCTATTTTCACCGTGAAGACATATTAAAGTCTGAAATTTTTTTTTCCATAATAAAGTACATTACATTAGATTTAATTTAATATATATATAAATGTGTCAGACTTTCCAGAACATTTTCAAAAGTCAAGTTGGAAAAGTAAATTTTTTTTGAAGAAGTTGTCATTTTAAATCCCCCCCTGTAGGCAGGTAAAAAGTCATATTTATAAAAAAAATATACCAAATGATAGGTAAAGACATCATGCATCCATAAAAAAAAGAATTATATTGATCTATACATGTTTCAAAAAGTTATAGCATTATAAAGTTAAAAATATAAAAAAGGATTTTTTTACAAAAATCGTATTTTTTTTTATTAACTTTGATGTCTGTTTTCACCATGAAGATAAAATAAAGTCCGAAATTTTTTTTTTTTTCATAATAAAGTACGTTACATTAGCTTTAATTTAATATATATATAAAAGTGTCAGACTTTCCAAAACATTTTCAAAAGTCAAGTTGAAAAAATTAATTTTTTGTGAAAAAGTTGTAATTTTAAATCCTCTCCTGTGGGCAGGTAAAGAACTTAACTTACTATTATTTGTCGAGTGCGATGTTTTTTGCCTAAGCCACAAGGAACGCTGCAGTTTGAAAACTTTCCCCATTTCGACATTCTACATCCTGACTCATTTAAACCCTGAAATTTGATCAATTCATACAATTGTTTTTTTATTGTTTAATTACAAATGTTCAAAATTCTTTTTTTATGGATTTAGTTACAAAACTCATGTTTTTCTTTATAATATAGTAACTATATCAAATTAATTCATTTTAGCTACTCATTAAAAATGTTCTGATTAACAATAACTCATCTTCTTGAAACGGTACTGGATTATCTGTGTTTTTATAGAACACCCAGCCCGACTCTACCTCGCTGGTCAACCACCGCATAGCCTATACAACAAACAAAAATTAACAACATACATGCCGACCAGTACAAAGTTAATCTAACACAGCGCCGCCATCGACAAACTGTTGCGATATCACCACTAAAAAAGCTTCTCGACGTCTAGGGCCGTACATTGCGTTTTTCGACTTTCGAACACAAAGGAGGCCTTCAACGAATCGAACGTACTAACAAAATAGTTGGATTAACTATTGTGTTTTGATTTCACTTGACTTTTGTCATTTATACATTTTATTTAAACTTTGTTTTTCATTTTTGGTGTATATAAATTCAAGTGTTCACTTTTGAACCTATACGTCAACAATAAACGGTTTCACGCCTTTCAACATTTAATTCTCGTGTCAACTAATAGTTATTTGTCCATTACTTCCATCAGCAACCCCAGTGCTGTGTCACTCTCTTTAAGAAACTTTAGGTTATTTTACTTGATTTTAAACATTTCCAAAAGAAACATTTTGAAAAAAAAAATGATAAATAGAACTTACATCTTCTGTATCTTCTTCTAAATTATTATTAAAAGTTGGTACTGGTGTGTTTTCTTGTGACGAGGGAGTAAATGCTAAAAAAAAGTATATTAATATGAACAATAAAATACTGAACACCTTATTTAATAATTTAATGTTAGGTGAATTGGGGTAAGTGAGTAGGTTTTTTTTTCCTTACATAATCATAAAATTATTTCTGTGCTATTTCTTTTGTTAAATAATTATCTTATATAACACAATTACTATCAAAGTAACTGAATCTATACTAAAAGTAATTAAAATTTAATTTTCTAGTGTTTTCTGTAGAAAAAAAGAAATGAGGTTCAAACTTGCCCCAATAGTGCAATTATACGAATTAAACAATTTTATTGAATATATTTTTAATTATTAAATATGTGAGCTATTTTTACGGTAATATAATTTATTTAACACAAATATATAATTAATTTAAAAGTTATGGATTTTTTTTAACGTCAATATCAAATATCAATATCAATTTATACAAAAATAAACAATGAACTCACAAATAATCCAAGTTATAATATTCTTAATTAGGAAGATCTACACAACTGGTATCACATTTACAGACTATGTCAAATAATACTTAATAATTCTATATTTAACATAATCATAAAAAATTGAACGATTAAAAGACACACATATCACTTTGATAAAATAATCATAAATATTACCACGTCCAAATATGCAGCAGACACACTTACCCCCCTTCACCTTATTTCAAAGAAATTTTAATAAAATTAAATTTAAAATTCCTGTTAATTTCAACATACGTTTAACATATGAACTGTTGCATGAAATTTTGTTTTCCTTACTATAGTAATAAAGACGTTGTACAGTAACATTGTACCTTTTTATTATTTCGTCGTTATTTATGGGCCATGCGTCCTCTTAGCAGCATGTACATTTTTATTTATTAAGTGATCATAGATAATAATTTATTAGACTTATCAACGTTTGCCTATTTAAACTTACCAAAATTTTGTTCGTCACACGATGGGTTATCTGGGCAATCAATTGTCTGAAGAAAACATTGAGGTAGACAATCATTGGATTGACCCATAGAAACTCTATTTCTCTGTCTTTGACCTTGCCCACATGAAGTTGAACATGGGGACCACATCGACCAATTAGACAGCCAACAATTTTTACACAAAACTTCTAAATCCTAAAAATTGAAAACTAAAACTTATACAAAAACAAATTTTGTAGCATGCCAAATATTAAGAACAAAAGTTGTACTTAGTTAAATTTAATTAAAAAAAAGCCCAGGGCCTACAAGATTAAATGTTCCATCTTAAATTTTATTAACCTGTCACAGTGACATAGTTATTTTGATTTTTTTTTGGTAATCACTTTTTTTATTAGCAATGTTTCCATAGAGTGGCTTATCTCAAGGTACCCTAGTGAAAATTGATCACAAATAAAACTTCAGACTAATTAATAATCAATCTTCATTTTTAAATAAAAATAAATATATATATATTTATATATATTTATATTAATTTATCAATAATTGATAGAATATAAATAAAATAATCGACTGTATAGTTGAGTCTGTAAACAGGAGTTATTTATATGTATTTTCACGATTTCGAGAGTTTGACACAGAAGGTTTAATTTGTTACAAGATACTCCCAAATACATTTATAAATGTATTCAGGCATTATAATAATGACTTACATGAAATTCGCCTAATAATTAATTTTTATAAGCTTATAATCGTTTGTTAAAATATATAACAAAAATTATCTATATTAATGATGTTTAAAATATTAGGTAATTTCTTAAGGATTTAATACAACTAATTTACACTAACTGAACCGCCGCTATCATCAGTACACGATTTCACCATACAATCTACAGTTTGTTCTAATTGAACACCTTGAGCAAAACAGTACTTCGGGGAAACATCAATATTTAAAATTGTTCGAAATCTAGCATGAACACCAACACCACATTCAGCTGAACAATTAGACCATCTTCCAAAAGCTGTTGTGTCACACCTTGAATCTGTCTTTAAAGTCTGTTCGTTGTCTGTTCTAAAAAAAAATACAATATATAACGATGTACATTTTTAAAATTGACTTGTTATATTTTAGTACGCGACAAAAAACACTCTTCTCTATTTGTGTTATAATAATTTCAAAACTTGATTCTTCTTCATCTTTTTCCTGGCCTTAATCGCAACTACTTGGGTTGGCCACCATTATCCTAAACTTTCACTTGACACGATCTCCCACATCATCTACGCTCACATTAGCTGTCCTCATATCGCATTCAATAGCATCCCTCCATCTCTTTTTTGGTCTTCCTCTAACTCTTCTTCCTTCAACATTCATTTCTATAACCGTTTTATAGCTTCCGATTTCTCTTTCCTCATAACATGACCAAACAATCTAAGTCTATTTTCTCTCATATTATCCACGATTGACACTACACCTATACTCCTTATATTTTCGTTCCTTATCCTATCTTCTCTAGTCACTCCACTCGTCCATCTAAGCATTCTCATCTCTGTTCAATCACAAAACTCGTTTATTAAGATTGACTGCAAGAAACATAATCAAAGATAGTTTTTACAATAAATTTTCTAGTTTAAAATGTGGTAAAATACAAGTTTTTCTATTTTTATTTAATTTTTTATACTTACGAGCAAGATGGAAGTACGTAGCATTTTTTGTTTTGTGTTAGCTGCACACTACAAAACGAAGTTTTATATGAATCAGGATTGAGATATTGTCTATGTCTACTAGTATTTCCTCTGCCGCAAGTGGCAGTACATGGTTCCCATTCTGACCATGGGCCAACAGCGCAAGCTATATAATAAATAATTTTTCATAATTCCATTATAAGGTAAATATTGATCCAAAAATATTATTTTTACCATTAGATTCGGTTTTGGAATTTTCTACAACACAACTCTTTTCATATAGACGTTGTCTTGTAAGATGTAATCTAGCTATTGGTTTTATAGGCATACCATCTTCTGTGTAAAATGGTGAACGTGATTCATTAGGCATGGCTACCCAAACTCTTTGAACAGTGGTTCTTGGTACAGTTGGATAATCAGATGCCTAAAAAAACAAACAATATAATAATATACTATCGATATAAAAAATTAAAAAAATTTAATATATTCCCACGCTTTATTGACTTATTAATTATTAAGAAACACAATGGTTTATAATAATAATAATAATACTATCAATGAAATACTTGACTAAGAAAATTGACTATAATTAATTTAGAATGACATTTTTCTTCACACAATGGTAACATAATTTTAAATATTGATAAATTTGTCGAATTTACGTTATATGTTACTCCGCTATCAATGCCAGCATCCCAAGGAAATAAATTAATCGTTTTGTTTGTTATCCAATTACAGTTTGGTAAGCACAGCTCTAGGCCGGAAATTCCTACAAACCAATCTGGCGATGGATCTAATATTAAAAAAATATAAGGTTTCAGTATTCTGAGACTCATTAGGTTAAGATTTAATTTATTTGCTTACACATAAAAGATACCACAGATACCAAATGGTGCTCTTGGTCTACTCGAAACACAGCAAAAGTCTTTCCAGTAATGTTTGGATAGCTGATACCTCGCGCTTTTATAATAGTTCGAATTTTATCACTCTAGAATTAAATTTTAACTTATCAGTTGCAATTTCTGAATAACTCGAGATCAAATTTCTGTTAGTATACTTGAGATTTAAGCTCCGATTCCAGTGTTGACGTAGCTCCATTCCTTGCTATACTGTTCATTCCTTCTGAAGCTACATGACCTTGTTCCCAGAACCTATCCATAAATATGCTTTTTTATAATTTTTTTTATCAACACATAAATAATCATCAGTAATTATCAAAAATGATAAACCTAATAAATCGAATAATGATTTATTAATTCAAATTATTTATTATATTTATTTTTAAATTATTTTTATAATTTACTTTAACAAAAAAGTAAGAAGCTGGAAATAGTTATATATAAAAGGGAAGATAGCCATTAAATCGGCATCATCTTAAATTAACTACTTAAGCTAAACGAATCAAAAATAATGATCTTTATCAAAAATATTAACATTTCATCAAAAGATGAATAGTATTAATAATACATACCTATAATCATATTTGTGTGAAGCACCAATTACATCGCTAAATCGAGTTTGCCAATTATCATCTGGATAATCTTTGGGATGAGTATGTCTTGACCACATTCCTTCAAAAGTAAGCTAATACAATAAAAATTAAATTAACTACTTATTAGTATCAACCCTATCAAATGCGAACCTCGAACTTTGCTTCGTCACATGCACAACACTCATACACGACGTTAGAATTTTCATCATTACTTTCATTATTTTCTTCACATATTTTCTTACTAAGTTGATCATCATCAGAATACCAAATGTCTCGGTATTCCACAATAATTGCCCTACGTTTAAAATATATATTAAAGCCCTTATAATAAAAAACCCAGCACAGGGGGGTCGCGGCACAGTGGTGACGTGGCATAGTTGGATCAAGTATAATGATATCTGACAGTGATTAAAATCACTATCAAAAATAAACGCTTCGATGCAAATCTTTAGATAGTGTTTAATTTTAAAAAATTGGTGGATTGTTCCAAAAGCAACATGATCTGTTAGTTCCTTAGTAATATCCTGATTAAGATAAAGTATGTCAAATGAAAAAGGGTTTATTAAAAAATATTATTTCTCATAAAAAAATTGTGTGGATCCATACACTTTTCAATATGTCATAGCATTATAAAGTTAAAAATGTAAAAAATAAAATCGAGAATTTTCACATAATAATAGCATTTGGTAGCTATTTTCACCGTGAAGATAAAATAAAGTCCGAAATTTTTTTTTTGCATAATAAAGTAGATTACATTAACTTTAATTTAAGATATAAATAAAAGTGTCAGACTTTCCGGAACAGTTTCAAAATTTAAGTTGAAAAAGTCAATTTTTTATGAAAAAGTTGTCATTTTAAATCCCCCCCTGTGGGCAGGTAAAGGGTCAGATATAAAAAAAATATATACCAAATGATAGGTAAAGACATCATGCATCTATAAAAAAAAAATTATATTGATCCATACATCTTTCAAAAAGTTATAGCATTATAAAGTTAAAAATATAAAAAAGAATTTTTTTACAAAAATCGTATTTTTTTTATAAAATTTCATGTCTGTTTTCACCATGAAGATAAATTAAAGTCCGAAATTTTTTTTTACCATAATAAAGTATATTACATTAGCTTTAATTTAAGATATATATAAAAGTGTCAGACTTTCCGGAACACTTTCAAAATTTAAGTTGAAAAAGTAAATTTTTTGTGAAAAAGTGGTCATTTTAAATCCCCCCCTGTGGGCAGGTAAAGGGTCAGATATAAAAAAAATATATACCAAATGATAGGTAAAGACATCATGCATCTATAAAAAAAAAATTATATTGATCCATACATCTTTCAAAAAGTTATAGCATTATAAAGTTAAAAATATAAAAAAGAATTTTTTTACAAAAATCGTATTTTTTTTATAAACTTTGATGTCTGTTTTCACCATGAAGATAAAATAAAGTCCGAAATTTTTTTTTTGCATAATAAAGTATATTACATTAGCTTTAATTTAAGATATATATAAAAGTGTCAGACCTTCCGGAACACTTTCAAAATTTAAGTTGAAAAAGTTCTACTTTTTACATGCATTTTTTAGATTTGAACCCCCATCGTACATAGGGAAATANTTTTAGATTTGAACCCCCATCGTATATAGGGAAATAGTCCGATTTAAAAAAACAGTATGTCAAATGAAAGATGTATATGAATACTACTCCTCATAAAAAAATTGTACTGATCCATACATTTTTCAAAAAGTTATAGCATAATAAAGTTAAAAATGTAAAATCCAAAATCGAAAATTTTCACGCAAAAAAAGCATTCGGTAGCCATTTTCACGGTGAAGATAAAATAAAGTCCGAAATTTTTTTTTCGCATAATAAAGAACATTGCATTAGCTTCAATTTAAGATATATATAAAAGTGTCAGACTTTCCGGAACATTTTCAAAAGTTAAGTTGAAAAAGTTAATTTTTTGTGAAAAAGTTGTCATTTTAAATCCCCCCTTGTGGGCAGGTTCAGGTTAAATTTATGAAAAAAATATACCAAATGAAAGGTAATGATATTATGCATCTATATAAAAAAGATATATATTGATATGTTTATTTTTGAAAAAGTTATGGCACTTTTAAGTAAAAAAAATTGAAAAAATTTCGAAAATTAGCGATTTTTAAATTCGTAATTTTTTAGGAGGTTTCCCCCATTTACGGGGAACGAGGGAATTTTTTTCAATTTTTGAGGGTAATGTCTTCGACTAGATACAATTTGTGATCTTTTGACGTATCATTGAAAGAAATCGGTTCGGTGAGAGCTGAGAAAAAGTGGTAACAGACAAAAAAAAAAAAAAAAAAAAACACATCTTAGTAAAACCAATACCTTCTCAGCTTCGCATCGAAGCTAAAAACTTCCCAACTGAAAAAATCAATTTATTCACCACCAAAACTTTTGGTGGTGAAATTTTTTTGTTCAGATTTTCCGTTGTTGACTTACAGGCAATGTTCAATAGATGTGTAAAGTCATGGATTTTATTTCCACGTCATACATTTCTTACAGGGCGCTATCTTTAACTTGTTATAACTCTTTAGAAACTAAATATATCTTATTTTTTTTAAGAAATCATATAACCATTTTTTAAAATAATTTTTACTGAGCTGCGATAGTTTTAAGTCGTCAAAATAATTAATTTAAGTATTTATTGTTATAGGACTGTTTTTTGACGTTATTATGAAGTTTTCTTGTTACTTGTTACTTATTTCTATATTAAATCTTTCATAATTTTCGAAAAGAGGTAAAAAAAATAGAAATGTCTAGGCTTTCTCTAGTCACCTAGAATACATATGGACAGTAACACAAAACTAAATTATCCAGTACGTTTTAAACAAACTGGTATATTAGTACAAATGATAAAGACGCAATTTTTTAACGTAAAAATTTAAATGATAATAATTCTAAAAAAGATAATAAAATAATGTAAATAAATAATAATAAACAATAAATACTTGAATCAATTATTTTGAAAAATTATAATAATCACAGCTCAGTAAAAATTATATTTAAAAATAAATGATATATTTTTTTATTTTCTTCTTAAAAAACCTTCTTAGATAAAATAACATATATTTCGTTTTTTACGAGCTTTAACAAATTCAATTGCATTTAATCAAATGATATAAACTCGTGTTAACTAACTTAAAAATAATACAACCACTACCAGAAGGTGGAGCAACCCAAAACACTTGTACTTCTGATTTTGATATCATAGATGTCTGAGTAATTGTATTTGGGCAAACTTCGCTGATTTTAGTTTTTACATCACCAGCAAGTTGAAATGTACCCGCGAAGAATTCGTTATCTTCGTCGTAAGTTTGATGGTCTTCTGCTTCAACCGTTAAAGTAAAACCGCTAAAACTAGGAGTCATAGTTTGTGAAGTTTTAACGCTTTGTATCATGACTGAAAATAATTTGAATAAAAACTCTTAATGTGAAAAATATGAATACATAATCATTGAAATAAATAAAATAAATATTCATGTCTTCATTCAAAAAGTCTTGTTGACAGTTTCAAATTTAAATAGTAAGTTTAAATTTGTCAACTTACTTGCCCAATTCACATTTATCCTAAATAAGTATATTTTTAAATTTGTTAATAAGCTGTAAATCTATTAGATGTGATAACTCAAGATATCACAAAAGCTTTTTTTTTAACTAAAATAATATTGAAAATTGTATATTATTACTTGTATAAGTTGTTCCAGGCCAATATGTTTCTGTATTTCCTTTGAATACAATTCTGAACGGATGAGGATTAGTACTTTTTGGCGCCGTAATGCCATTTGGTCTTAAATCACATGTCTTCAAAGCCGACAATGATAGTAAAAGTCGAAGATAAAGCGTAATAGAAATTATTAGTTTACGTATCATTGTTTATCTGGAATCACATTAATTAGTTATAATTTATTGGTTGGATGGGGTTACTAGTTAGACCTTGGACGCAGTGGCGCAACTAGTAGGAAAGTTGGCTAAATGATACTTGAGGGTCCATGTGGTTTAAAAATCCTCAGAAATTATTTTTTTAGTTATAATTTTAACTTTCAAGTTTAAAGAACTCCACTTAAAATACTCATTTTAAGACCCATTAAAACCAAGTTGTACCACAGTTTAGGTGAATAATATTAATGATTATCAATGAAATTTTAACAATAAAAAAATTATGTTTAATCTTTGATAGCGGAGTAGATTTTGGTTTTACTCTGCTGTATTTTCTTTTTGATTATTATCAGAAAATATCTTTTTGTGTCACTATACACAGTTACTCCTTTTGCGGTTTACGTTTTTGAATATGTCAAAAGATCACTAAATGTTCTTAGTTTGATTTTCAAAACGTTATATTTTTAATATCTTCACAAAAAATTATAGTTGTTAAAAATAAGTAAATTTTTTTACATTATATTGAAATAAATTATTGAAAATTGAACAGATTATTACGAAAATTTTATTATTGATTATATTTTATATTCATATCAACACATTTATCTTCTATGATTAATCAGCTTCTAAAGTCGAAAATCATGTAATGTCAGATAAAGTATTTATAAATTTGTTTCAAATACGCATCGAAGCGTTTTACAACAGTAATTTAAATCTTTGTCAGATATCAATCAATCTAATCTAAAAAAAACCTCAACTACACTACGCTGGATACCTACTGTACTTCATTCTTTTTTATTATAATTTACACCATACGTAAGTGGAGATAACATTAAAATTTAGCATTTATCTTCTAACATCAGGGTTTATTGGTAAATCTAAATTTAGTGTGTAAATTCATATAACGATAAATTGTTTTCTTTATTAGTGGAACAACTTAATGTACAAAAATATGTTCACATATTTATTTAGTCGCTTTTGGTAAGAATACAAAATGTTTGTGAACACTTATCCATTATTGTAACAATAATTATTTTATTGTGGCTTGATGCGCTAACAATCAATTATTTTAAATATAATAAAATGTATAAATACTATTTAAATATCTTCAAAAATGCTAAATTAAAATCCAATAATTAATAAGATTTTATAAAATGAAATAAAACATATAACTTCAAAGTCAATATGATTGTAACTATAAAAAATTTAATAGTAAAAATATTTAAAAATAATAATATAGTACATCCAATTTTTAATAAGTTACTTGAACTCAAACTAATCAAAAACTAATCCAGTTGTACAAAATTATGTTCCATTTATTGTAAAACAAAAATTATATACTTCAAATGAAGCTAAAAAAACGTATTAACGCAGGTCACAATTAAATATCAAAATAGCTATATTATTAATATGATAAATTCATAAAACGACACTCACATTTTTAGCCAAAGTAGGAAAAGATTGATAATAAATTTTATTGATTACATAGTATAATAGTTGAGAGATTACTACGCAATAAGAACATAGAAAATAGACTTAAAACGCATGAATATCGCAATCGACTGAAGAAAATAGACTGAAATCATATGAAACATAATGCTCTGGATGTTGAATAGTTGCCAAGATAAAAAAAAATCATTAGAGGAAAATGAGAAATGCTGGGAAAAAGAGGGAGAAAGAAGGAAACAAAAAACCGTTGATATTTTTTTTATACTATCATTGTAATATCATCACTCTCAACATGGATCGTTAAATAAAAAACTTTTGTAATGTAATTGTAATATAAATATATCAAAAAATCAATAATTCATGGGGATGATTTTTCTTCATAACTAAATATTACAATATACAAAAACATAGAATAATAAATATATTAATAATATTTACAGAGTTTAAACAATTACTCTCTCAAAAATAATTCAAAAACCTATGTATATTCTGTAGTTTTTTAGGAAGGAAAATTAAACTTAACACACCCAAAAAATGTATTTGCCTACACTTATAATTATTAGCTTCGATGCGAAGCTGAGAAGTTATTGGTTTTACTAAGATGTGTTTTTTTTATTTATGTGACTGTTACTACTTTTTCTCAGCTCTCACCGAACGGATTTCTTTTAACGATACGTCAAAAGATCACAAATCGTATTTAGTTAAAGACATTACCCTTAAAATTTGAAAAAATTTCCCTGGTTCCCCGTAAATGGGGGAAACCTCCAAAAAAATTACAAATTTAAAATTCGCTAATTTTCGAAATTTTTTCAATTTTTTTAACTAAAAACTGCCGTAACTTTTTCAAAAATGAACATATCAATATAATTTTTTTTATAGATGCATGATATCATTACCTTTCATTTGATATATATATATTTTTTATATCTGACTCTTTACCTGCCCACAGGGGAGGATTTAAAATTACAACTTTTTTACAAAAAATTAATTTTTTCAAATTCACTTTTGAAAATGTTTCGGAAAGTCTGACACTTTTATATATATATTAAATTAAAGCTAATGTAATGTACTTTATTATGGAAAAAATTTGTGTGTGCTACNTAATAATTTTTTTACTCTATTTGTGTGTGCTACTACTAGACTAATAATATTACAAATTTTTTTGTAACATGTTGCTATATAAATCATTTCTAAAAAAAATGATTGTTTTTTCTCCTGAATTAACAATTGATTTTTACAAATATAATCAAATTTTATAATACGCTCAATTGAGTAAATCTTTTTAACAACTTTGTTTTGATTGGTTCATTTATTTAAAGTAAATCATTAAATTTAATTAAGTTCTCAATATTTCAATTGTAGAATCTTTTCAAACACAAAATTTACTAGGAAATTATTACTATTACTTNTTTCAACAAACAACAAAAGTTCCTAGGAAATTATTACTATTACTTCTATTTAAGTTATCTATTACCATAAAAATACAAAAAAATATTGAACTTTTCTGATAAATTTACAATAAATAGTAATTATAAAACTTTCTGACTGTATATTGATCTTAACGATACAATTTTTTTTATTGTCATAAAATTCTGTATTTAATTATGTCAATGTCAAACTTACCAATTGAGCTAAAAGTTATGGTAAAATAAATTTTTTTTTTTTATTATAAACATTTACAACAATCAACTTTAAACGATTAAAAAAATAGGTTAAATATGTCATTTTCCTTATTTTTAACATATTAATAATCAAAATCAGTCTTAATTTAAAACAATTTTTTTTGTTCTTAATTATTTTTTTTTATATGTAAAAACTATTTTTTAATAATATTAAAACTTAGAAGTTATAGAAAAAGTCTAATTGCACATTTTAAAACATCGCGAAAAGTTGATTTAGAATAGTATATTTTTGTTTCTGATGGAAGTTCCTTGTAGTACAGTGTATAAAACTTATAACTTTGTTAACTGTTAAACTTTATCAAAAATGACCAAATCAGTATAATTTTTTTTTTATATAGATAAAGACTTTATCTATCATTTGGTTTTTTTTATAAATCTAACCCTTTACCTGCCCACAAGAGGGATTCAAAATATTAACTTTTTTTTTTTTAGTTAAAGTAAATCATTAAAATTAATTCAGTTCTGGATATTTCAATAGTAGAATCTTTTTAAATATCAAAAATTACTTAGAAATGATTACTATGATTTCTATTTAAGTGTTCTATTACGATAAAAATGCAAAAAATAATGAGTTTTTCTGATAAATTTACAATAAATAATAATTATAAAACTTTCTGACTGCATATTAATCTTAAAAATAACATTGTTTTAATTCTCATAAAATTTTCTATTTAATGATTCATTCTAGTCAACGAAGGAGTAATTTTGCAGAATAGCAGAAAAAATTCCCAACAAACTTTTTTTTTTTTTGTTTTAATTAGGCAATTGGTGGATTATTCCAAAAGCAACATCAACTCTTATTTCTTTAATTATATCATGATTAGTAGTTCTTTGATTTTAAAATATAATATTTGAATATATACTAATTATAATTATTAAATTTAGTATGAAATTGATATTTAATATTGTAATTTAAACGGAGAAATTATAAAAATAATAAAGAAGTTATATTTTGCTTTACTTTTACGTGTATAAAAATTTAAAGGGCTTGATACAATAATTTTCAATAAAAACTGTTTGTTACTATAAAAAAATGCACTGGACTACAAGGAACTTTCATCAGAAGCAAAAATATACTTTTCTAAATCAACTTTTCGCGTTGTTTTCAAATCTGCAAGTAGACTTTTTCTATCACTTCTAATTTTTTATATTATTACTAATTATATATAAAATAATAATTAAAAGAAAAAAAAAATTTGTTTTCAAATTATTACTGATTTGATTTTTAATATGTTAAAAATAATCAGTCCAAATTTTCAATTTTAACCTATTTTTTTGGTTCTTTAAAGATGATGAAAAATGTTTGATAAAGATTTATAAAAGTTTAAAGTAAAAAAAATTGAATATATTACCATAACTTTTAACTCAATTACAAGTTTAAAACTGACATCTAGGCCAGTCAACAAAGGGAAAATTGCAGAAAAAATTCCCAACCAAATTTTGTTTTTTTAAAAGTTGAATTAAAATATGTATAATGACTTACTAATAGTCCTCATTGATTGGAATTGAGCTTTTTTTTTTACAGCCTCGCAAAAGTTCAAAAATGAGCTTTTTTAATTTTCTCAAAAAATATTTAACTTACAAAAAAAAGTTTCGTACAAAAGTTGTTTAAAAGACAATTATAAACAAAAAAATTATCTTATATTTTTTTAAATATTTTTTCTTCGTCCCTTATAAAGGTGTCAGTGAAAGGAGGAATGCATCTGAGAAATGTTTAATAATAAATATAGCAACAGACATGATCTTCAATCATTGCTTTAAATTTTAAATTTCTCAAACATAAGTTATTATCGACTAGTAATTTTCTTAATTAGATCATTATCTATTAAATAATTTGTTAATTATACATGTTACAATTTAAAAAGATAAAGTTAATACCCTTATATTAACATTATATTTAAAAAAATAGATAAAAATATCAATATTATTCTTATTTTTCTATTGATTTATGATTAGTAAATCATTCTGTATACTCAATGTTAAAATTTTTTATTTTAAAAATCACTTCCTCAGAAAATATGATTACATAATTTATTATAATACTTTAAAAATGTTTTAATATCAATTAATTTGATCGCTTTTAGAATTTAATTATTTAGAAAATAAGACGAGAACTACTCTAAGAAATAATAACATTACACATACTACATAAATTTAATATTTTGAATAAAATGTACACAAGTAAACTAAAAATATATTTATATTTTTGAGTGTATACAATGTATACTGTATATATATATATATATATATATATAAATATGGTAAAATATTATAGAATATTATAGAATGTAAGGAATCTATTGACAACTATGAACAATTAATAATACATTGAAATGTACATTTATGTGCATTTATTACGTTTCATGAAACAAATAAAAAAACTGAATTGATTGTTTATACAATTCAAATAGTCTTGTTAAAATTATTCATAACTATATTTGATAAACATTTATTTGCTTATTAAAGATGGATATTAATTTTAAAATAAATTTAGAGGTAGTAAAAACTACATAAGATAGCTTATATTTTTGGCCGATTAATACAAAAATTTAGACATCAAAAATTTTCCACCACCAAAAACATAGAAAACTAATTGTATCATACTCTCTCAGTAATTGAATTAAATATAGATGAACGAATCTGTTTATTTAAAGTTCACATAACATTACGTTTTAATTATCTATCACTTAAACTGTATTAATACATTTTCAAATATTTCAAAAATAATTATTTCCCAGTTGTTTAAAGTATATTTTACTTTTAAAATAATATCAAATATATATCTATAAAACAGTGAAAATTCTTAAGTGAATATTAAGCAAAAAAAAAAAATTATTGACAAATTATGAAATTTAACTAATAAGTTTACAAAAAATGTACAAAGACAAGATTTTTTAAAGAAGCAAAATATTAAATTTAAAAAAAGTGGCAGAGAATATGCCATTTTTTAATGATTCTGGAATTATATTTTATAAATATAATCATTTATTATGTTTGTCTTGACAAGCGAGAATAATCATTGTTGGCATATTGACTATTTTTGAATGAACGATTGTTATAAACATAGGTATTACCTTGTTGATAACCACGTGAAGATACAACACCTAAAATTTATTAAAGTTTCAAAAACTCAGAAAAAGAAAATTGAAAATGAAAATACCTTCTCCTGAATACTGAGCTCTGGATCTTAAAGGAGCTGATCTTTTGTTAAAATCATTAGAATGAATACTCCTTTCATAATTATTTGAATTGGAATATTGACCTATGTTTTGCTCTTGTGTTTGTTGTCCATAATTATTTTGATAAAACGCTGTATTATTTGAAGTTGTAGTTGAAGGATATTGATCTTGTTTATTAAATACAACAGATTTTTGTAATAACTCATTGAGATTTTCTGAATATCCTTTAAATATTATTAATTAAAAAACATAAAACAAAAGAACACTTATTTCTCACCATTAGTAACTAAACCAAAATTAGAAGAATTATTTTGTGGTTTTTGTGGATTTGGTTGTGATGGCTGTTGTTGCCGTTGCTGCTGCTGCCGTTGCTGCTGCTGCTGTTGTTGTTGCTGCTGCTGCTGTTGCTGTTGCAATGTATCAGCTTCAGCCATCTGTACCCAGTTATTTTTTATATGCCAATCATTACTTGAGTTATTAGCAATCATTTGTGCCATCGCCCAATTATCTCTAGGTAAACTATTAGTATCGCCAGAGACTGCTGGCCTATTCTGCCAATTCGTCTCTGGTTTGGCAGCAATGTAATCTGGACTATTTTCAACGTGATTCAATTTTACACCCTAAGAATTGCCAAAACATTTTGTTGAACTTCAAACATATTTTTAAATATTTTTTTTAACAACTAACCTTATAAGAACCAGCTATAGTGGTTTGTAATTGTGGAGGAGTTGTAAGAATTTTTAAAATTGCTTCATCGGCAGGTCTATTATGATTATAAATAGAAGATGAAAAAGTTTGAGTAGGGATAGAAGTTAAATTTTCAACAGAATGTTCTTCTTCTAATTGAGAATCCTATTTAACAAAAATAATTTCTTTATAATTAAATAAAAAATAAATTCAATTTTAACGATTTTTCATAATTTCAATAACACTGGTTGATTGGTTTGTCATAAATCACCCAATTACTTGCACAATACAATATTGAAAAAGATAGTAGTTGAGTGGTTAATGATAACCTAATCACCCCATATTATTTATCAGAAAATTTCATTAAAACAGAAAAATATAAATGTATTATACTTGTAGGAAATCAAAAGAGTTATTAAATGCAGGGTCAACAGTTTTTGGCTGAATTTGTTTTTGCTGAACTGTATTCGCAACTAAATTATGATTAGTAAAATATATTGTCTCAATTTTATTAGTAGCATACTCTTCTGTTGGACCATTTGGAACTAAAATTCATAAAAAAAAATTGCCAAAATAAAATAAGTTTAAATAAATATTAATGAGAAATAAATTACTTGATTGACATTCAACATTAGAACTTAATGGCTGATTATCATTTTGAAACAATTTTGTTTCTAAGTTTTTAATTTCATTATTTGGAATATTCTATAAAAATTAAAAATTGCAACTTAAAAATAATCAAGGCAAATATGAAAAAATTATTAAAAATAATATAAAATAGTATCATTAAAGCAAAATTACTATCATTGACTAACTCGCACTATTTAACTGCAACTATATTCTATTTTTGTTAATGATTCATTGAATAGAAATTTTATAATAGGTTTTCTCATATTACTATTATTTTTTAAAGTAAAACTTCTTTAGTGGTTAAAAAAAAAAAAAAAGATTATCAAACATCACAGTTGGTCACAGTGGGCTTTACGGTCAGCTGTAAAATATATTTTATATTATAATTTACCACTGTGATTCCGAAAATTAAAGTAATTTTAATAAAAATGCATTAAATAATTTTTATTGTGCATAAAAAATTTTTAAAGAACCATTTTATATGCTTATTTAAACAATATCTTCATAACAAAAGAAGTTTCACTTCAGGCGCACATACTCGTAACACACATTGTTTTTTTAATTTTAAAGTTGTATTAAGAATTTTGACAACAAATCTGATTAAGCAATATAAACAATTGAAGATTGGTCAGACCATTCTTTAGAAATTATGATTAGCTCAAAACCTAATAGATCTTTTTAAATTTTCATTTTTTCAAACTAACTTGAATGGTGGAATAAATCATGGGTTACATTTTCAAGAAAGATCTTGATTAATATTTAATTAATATATGATGTTAAATCTAGATTTGTATTCCAAATTCTTATTTAATTTCTACTCTCATGATGTCTCTTCGTATACCCAAATAAGGTTAATAGTACAAAGTACAAAGTCAGTACTTTTTATTTGTACAGTGAATATTGTTCATTTATGGTAAACTGACTTTATATACCTGATAAGAATTAATACAAAACAATAATACATTACTACATGAAATTTATTGTTTATAGTTCACTCGTGATTGCTTCGTACTCCTGTTACACGGTTAATACGAAGAGAAAATGTAAAAGAACTGTGTTCAACTTTTACTGGTTTTACAAAAACAACTGATGGTGGATATATGGTCTTAACGTTTATCTTACGTTTTGCTTATCGTTAATACAATATATGTATTCAATAATGAAATAGTACATGTACACCATTATATGCAGTTTTAAATCTTCATTAGATGATCATAGAGATTCGCGTTTCCCCTTATATCATGTCTTAAATTTCTCCAATTCATTGCTTATTTTAGTTTATCATATTCAAACACTGATTTTATTTAATATACTCAAATTTTTATATATATTTTTTTATTACATTTTTTTCTAAAATTTTTATAAGTGCATACATATATCTTCATTTATTATAAAAAAAATTTTAAATAAAAGATTAATTATTCCATGCATAACTGACTTAACTAGATCACTCTAAATGTTTCACTATACAAGGGTTTTTTATTAATTACCCAAACATTGATTAAATATCACAAAGCGCCAAGTTTTAGTTCTTTAGTTTTTACACATAACTTATGTAAATGACTTAAAATACACAAATCATAAAATTGTCTATACCTGTTCTATAAATAAAGATCATTCAGATAATTTAAATTGGATGATAAAACAACCATAAATATATTTAACTGAGAGTTTGTATAGTTTGAATACAAATGAAGACCACAAATATAAAACGTTTATATGTCAAAAAAAAAAAACCAATGTAAGGAATAAGTATTACACATTAAACATTTAATGAAAATATACTTATTTTTTACTTAAAATATGTGAGGCAATCGAATTTTGGCAATTTGAACATATATAAAGTTGAATCTATGAATTCATAGAATATTTAAGAGAACTAATAAACTTATTTCTATGGCAATTAAAACAAAAAACTTGCCATTTTTCACTATTTATATCTTTGCAAAAATATATGCTTTGAATAATTCTAATAGAATTTAAAATTAACAATTTTATGCTATTACAGATATATTCAAAATATTTTTTTATTTTTTTTCACTTTGAAATTACTCTTTAGTGATATTCCTCTTGTACTTAAGCACCCTTTTTGAATTTTTTAACAGATATACTAACTAAATAGATAAAGTTAATGTTCATTGAGACATATTCTTTTAAATTCAATTCATAGATACTAAATTATGCATAACAAATTAATGATACTTACATCTATTTCTTTTTTTATCACTTGATCAAGATAACCACTTTTCTCAATCTTTAACAAGGATTCTCTTAAGATTTCATAAGTTGTACCAGCTATACGATTTTGTTTATTTTCTATGAGTTTTACATAATGTTTGGTAACAGTCTTAAGTTGATCCTAAAATTTAAATATATATATATATATAAATATTTTAACATAACATAATTATATTGTAATATAATAATATAATAAGTGATAATATACATTATGAATTATCTTTGTGCAAGTAAACAATATTTTGTAGTAAAATACCTCAAAAAATGGTCGACCTTCTTCCACGCGACGTTTGGCTGATGTAAGTTTAGCAAAAAGAACTAATTTATTAAGTTCCGTTTCTGATAATTTAATTGCTCCATTTTCACCAGTTAACAAGTCTTGTTTCACTTTATCATCCTTAATATTTTCTAAAATATTCTATTAAAGTCATAAAATTTAATAAATTAATAGGAAAATATTCACAAATAAATCTGAAATAATGTATAATGTAATAATAAATAAACAAGCATCATTTGACAGTTTTCAATTTAAAAAAAATTATCTATTTAAAAACAAACTTTAATAAAAAAAAACCCAACACAGTGGAGTCGTGGTACAGTGGGGATGTGGCATAGTTGAATCAAGTATAAAGATATCTGACAATATTAAAATCATTATCATAAAAAAAACTACAATGTAAATCTGTAGATTGTGTTTAATTTTAAAAAATTGGTGGATTATTCCAAAATCTACATTTAAAAAAAAAGTATGTTGAATGAAAGAGGTATATAAATAGTATTTATCATAAAAAAATTATATTGATCCATATAATTTTCAAAAAGTTTAACATTTTTAAGTTAAAAATATAAAATTGAGAATTTTAACACAAAAGTAGCATACAGTATCCATTTTCAACGTGAAGACAAAATAATGTCCGAAATTTTTTTTTTCTATAATAAAGTATATTACATTAACTTTAATGTAAGATATATATAAAAGTATCAATATTTCCGGACACACTTTCAGAAGTTAAGTTGAAAAAGTTGACATTTTGAATAACCCCTGTGGGCAGGTAAAGGGTCAAATTTATAAAAAAAAATACATCAAATGGTAGGTAAAGATATAAATGCATATAAAAAGACATATATGCATCTATAAAAAAAAATTATATTAATTTGGTCATTTTTGAAAAATTATGGTAGTTTTAAGTAAAAATTTTTTAAAAATTTCGATTTTTAAATTTGTAATTTTTTCAATTTTTGAGGGTACTGTCTTTGACTAGATAAGATTTGTGATCTTTTGACGTATCATTGAAAGAAATCAGTTCGGTGAGAGCTGAAGCTAAAACAACTTTAATCATAATTTCAACAAACTGTTTAGCAGAAGTAAAGAAAGGTGAATGATTTATCCAACACAAGACTCATAGGAAAAAGATTCTTTTGCAAATTTGAGAATAATTCATGGGTCAGGGAATATATAGCTAATTTAACATATTCAACAATATTTTGTTACAATAAATGTAAAAAATTATACTTATCTTTGTTTTAATATAAATATAGCTAAAAAATTAAAGTTATAATAATTGGCTAAAAATTAGTTTTTATAATAAAGGTTGGGTAAGTGGATGATAAAATTTAATTAAAGTTTATTACTCAAGTAATAGAAACAAATTGTATTTTATTCAACATAAAGATTATATTTAATTGTTATTGACATAATCGTAACTTTTAAAAATTACATTATTTAAGTTGCTGCATTCATTTTGTATACATTGGCTATCTGTTTTTTATACTGTCAATAACTCTCTGTAAGATATGCACATTGATCGCTATATTTTCCTATTTAATGTTTTCTTTTAACTCTAATAGTGAATGAAGCTTATTAGTTAACATTTTAGATTTTAGAAAACCCCACAAAAATAAATCAGGTGACATTTAATCAAGAGAATGTAGTTATCAGATAATATCACCATTGCACCAAATCATATGTTTCGGAAACATTTTTTTAAGAACAACCATTGAAATACATGCTGTATGACTGATAGCTATATTTTGTTGGATCTTATACTTATACTTATACTGTAATTCAGCTGGCAAGAAGTTATTCAACATATCTACATAACGTTCAGATGTTACAGTCACAGTCACATTGTTTTCCTCAAAAAAATATGGACCCAAAATGCCAAACGATGAAACATCACACCATTTTGCAGAATGCAAAGGAGTTTTATGTAAGAAATTAAGTTGTTTTGAAGCCCAAAAACAATAGTTTGGTTTGTTAACCACACCACACAAATGAAAGTGTTTCATTTGACATAAACAAATTAGACATAAATGCATGATTTTCATCAGTCAATTGCTAAAATATGTTACAAAATTCAATTCTCTACCAAAATAATTTTGAAGGAGTTGTTGCACTATCTGAACTTTATATGGAAAAATTTGTAAATCATTATGTAAAATTCTTTGGATAATTCCGTAAATAAATTCAATAATTGAAAATAGTACATTACTGAGCATTATGGACTTAGATAGATTGCTTGATGTACTCACTCAATTTGTTTTGGTGTTCTTACACTTTACTGACTGTCTTTATAAGTTAAAAACTTATAAAGTTTTTAACTTATAAAGAAACCAGTATTTTGAAATTTATGATACCAGTCTAAATTTGAATTTTGTGAAGGAATATGACCACCAACAAAAATATTGAATTGGTGTCAACAATTTTGCTGTATGGTTACAATGGATTTACATTCAACAATCATAACAGCAAAAGATTGTTGATTCACAGTCCATGTGACCATGAATACTGATTAAGTAAAACTACACATCATGAACTTAAATCTTGCAACAAAATAGTTTATCTTATCTACTTTAGTACCTAATCACAGTAGCACCCTTGAAAATGTCAGAACCCCACCCTGTATCATTTTAATAAAATAAAAAATTAGTAAATGAATTAATAACTAGTGTAATGTGTATCACCCTTTAGTTCCTTTAATTTAAATTACTACCAAATAGGTCTTAAAAGTCAAATAGATCATTAACTATTTTATAGATTTCTTCAGTCGTATTTGAACTATTTGGTTGAAAAATACTTTTGGATTTTCTTTAACTGATTATAACTCTTAAAAAACTAAATCTAACTAATTTTACCTAAAAGGGTTTTTTAAAGAAAAAATATTATCAATTTTTAAATATAACTTTCACTGGGCTAAATCTTTCTTAATTATAAAAATAATTAATTCAAATATATATTGTTGCAGTATAATACTGTTTATTGAAGTAATTACCATGAAAACTTAAAAAATTTATTTTTATTTAATTGTTTTTACTTTTTTTCCATAAAAATCCTACCAGTAGTTACTTATTTCTATATCAAATCAAAGCCGGTTGGTGCATTTCTTCATACTATCAACAAAGCTTATGTTAATTTCTTATGAACTACGAACTAGCAAATCATGTGATACTGGGTAGGTAAAAAAATCCTCAAAGAAATTCTCTACACAGTAAAAAGGTCACTGTTTGATGTGCAGTATGTGCAAAATGTGAAATATATTAACCAAGTATAAACATTTTATTTTCAAACAACTTAATAAATTTTAAATGCATTTATATAAGTTTTATATTTCTAATTGAGAAGAATCTGCCAATAAGATGATTCTAAAAATGGTTTTATGTCTTTTTCTATATATGTCCTAATTTATTTTAAATAATATATACCTGAAAAATTAAGACTTCTTTTACGCTATTATCTATTTTAAATGGAACTTTTTCTTGCTTTTCAGGTTCCATTTCAGAAAATTTCTTTTGTTTTGAAGATGTATAAATGGAACTCAATTGTTTCTTTAAGTTTCTAGCAAAATCTAAAGCACTAAGAACTTCTTTGAACTTCGAGGCAGCAACTAGTTGGTCATCAGTAAGTTGTATCCCTTCTCGTTGTTGTTGAAGATAGCCTTCCAACTTAAGCTGTATTAAAAAAATATATTATAGAAAAAAAAAATTACCTTCAAAGGTTGATTAAAATATAATTTACTTATAAAAGATACCTATTATTTGCATAAAATTTCTCAAATTAATTTAGTTTTTTATGTGTATAAATTTTTGGCATCATCATAAAGTTGATGAGTAACTCAATATTTCAATATCATAACATTTTTAATATAACTTTAAAGATAAAGAACTGATATCATTTAAATTTATTTATTTTTATTTAGAAAAGATATTATGTATTACTTTTAAAATATTATTCAAAGAATATAAAGTAATAAAATGTATAATGAACCATTCTTTTTAAATATTTTATAATTACACCAGTAATCAAATATACATCATACAATGATAATTTTTTAAAAAATGCGTTTTTTATCATAAAAACATTTAATAATAATAAAAAAACACCAAAAAAAAAAAATTACAAATATTTAAATACTGGTTATTGTCACTTACGTAACAATTTTAAATATACTACCTAAATAGTTACTTTGCTTTAAATGAAAACTTAATATGGATAACAAAAATATAAACCATTTTATTCAACTCATCTTAATAATTTCATCAAAAAAAGTTAATTTGTTAACTAATGAACAACTTTCTTTATAACGACAATATAATTAATTTTTAGGAAAAATAATTCTAATAATAATAATAATAATAAAATAATAAACAATTATTTCTTAATCAATGTGGTTTATTATAGCTATGAACTATTTTAAATATATTTTTAGTACATCTAAACCTTATTAAACACAATTTTAAGTAGCATTTAACAAAATTAATAAAATAAAGTTGATGAATCACATAATTTTTTTGTTGATAAGAATTCTACCTAGATGAAAAATTAACTTTTCATTAAAATATTTCGTTACCTTACGCTTTTCCAAGTTTCTTATTTTGTGCTCAATAACAAGCATTGTTTGCTGCATGGGATCCACAACATTCTTTTGATGATCTCCGTTGCTATTACTGCTAACAGCCGCATTAGACGTCATTGTATCCAAACAACAACAACGTTCAATGCACAACTAAATAATAATATAATATAAAAACAATATCCAAAAATGAGAGTACTATAAATCATCAAACAATGAAAAAATGTAATATAGAATACAATGTTGAATAAAAAAAAAAAGGTGAACTAGAAAATTTATATTTTACCTCAAGTGATCGTGAAAACGTGCAATACTTAAAATTTGCGATGAAAACTGACAAACCGTCACCAAAGTACAACGCACGCACAGGGCATAAACTGATAATGTAACGCCGTCGTCGGACAGTGACACCGACAGTCAACGAACAGAATAAAAAAAATGGACGGTGTGTGCAGGAGGAGAGAAGTGGATCTGATTTTTTTTATCACACACGCACACACTTTTGTCCATTACATCCGTTCAAATTACCGGCCTTCGGGGGGCGCAATTAACAATCAAAATGTATTTTCAATGTTGAAATTAAGTATGTATTTTGAAAAAATATATTTTATAATGCCATCGACCATCATCTCACGTTTTTATTTGTGATAATTCCGTATTGCGTTTTTTATAAAATGTACATGTATAAGCGCTTCCATTGTGGCTTCCAATGAATTCAGCCATTGTCTTTAATTTTATGTATTTAATCGTAAATTTATATCATCGTGAAATCATTAAACAATCAGTATATCATTTACTTTTCTGAAGAATGCATATTTTTCTTATAATGTATATTAAAAATTTATTAGTAGCGTAATCAGACATTGGGGGAGCGATGATATTTTAATAAAAAGTGATTAAAATTCAAGAATAAGTACCAGAAGTTAAACTTGATAAGAAAAAATAAATAGATATCATTCACGTATATATTTCAAGAATCGTAATTATGGCTATTATAATTAAAATACTCGCAACAACATTTACAAAGTACATGCATTTCTATTTCAGGGAACACATTTTGATTTTCAGATGATGCATTTGTATCAGAGAACACACTATTTTAGACTCTGTCCTAATTCTAAATAGAATCTATAAGAGTATTATAACAATGTAATACTATTTTAATATTAAAAATAGTCATATACGTTAAGTATAAGAAAACAACAATTATTTGAGTCAACAGCGTAGTTTGCACGGGAACTGTAGAGATTACAATGCCTGTAAAAACATTTGGAGCTTCCACAAATAAACTGCATGTTTTGGAAAAAAAGACAGGAATATATTGTACATGAGAACCTCCCTGTCTATTAGCCAAACATAAATTAAGTATGGGACTAGAGAGTCCCATAGACAATTTCTTCAATTTACACCCATAATTAAAATTTTGGCATTTTAATATTTTTTACAGGGATACCGCAAAAAAATGTCATAAAATTCCCAAAAATGATTGATAATAATTTAAGCTAGGAGACAATTCACTATACCCATGGGTTAGAGAAGTGTAAAATCGTCCCCCAACAATTTATTCGACATCCTAAATTTTTACTGCAAATGGCACTTTTAGAAGGATTATGAGATAGAAAAAAATGTCATCGATAAAAATTTGTAAAATCCTATTAAAATTAAAAAAATTGTCTAATCCTTCTCTAAATTTTTTGATTTAGAGTGATTTGTTTAATGCTTAAAATAATAAGTTAAAAAAAAAATTTGTTTACAAATTTTTGTTTAGGTTGTTTAACAACCTCGGTCCTAAATTATAGGTTTAACGAATAAAACTATATGTAAAACCTATTTATTTTGTCGTTCTCTCGAAATCAAGTTGGTCTTGTAACACGTTAGTTGAAAAAAATTTTTAGTTTTATAGATAATGTATATATATATAACAGGCCAGCTGAAGAGCAAGCCGCCAATGCACTTGTTTCACACTTTGAAAGGTTTTATATACATAAATGAAAGCAAAAAATGTCTTCTCTTACTAAAAAGAGTCTCACAAAAACGTTTTTGTATTGGATCCCAGAACCAGTGCCAACGTTAAATTTTGACGTATTAGGAGGGTGAAGGTTGAAATGGAATAGATTCCCCCAATAAAAATGATTACATATGATGATACTATTTTTTTATTTTGTAAGGGGCAAATAAAAATTATTCTTGTATATATCCCCTCAAAAAATTAAACCCTAATTATACCACTGCTACGTGCGGGGTTCGGGGCACGTGCTTCGCTCATATGCGCCGGCACAGTTACTATTGTATCTCAAATATATTTTAAACACATTATAAATTAACCATATTAAAATATTAAGTAGCAATTTATAAAACTTACCATGGTCTAGAATCCATGACGTCAGGGAGGTTAATTTTAAGCTTAAGGAAAAAGTCAGTTCCATTACCATGTCCATCCCTATGTTCTATTTAAAATCAGGGAATAATAGGCCTTTCGATTGTGTTATATTTTTAAGACTCAAACTATTCTATATATTTATAAATGATAAATAATTCAAAATAATTGATAAAAAATTATAAAATGTATACTATTAGAATTATTTAAAATAAATTTACATATTATGTAAATAATAGTAATAATTAAAGGCGATAATTATCTTTTAAACTTAGAACCTTTAATCCAATGCTCTTGTTGAAATCTCAAGAACTATTGACTCTCACAATTGTATTTGCTATGTTTGATTTATGTGAATTATCGATATTGGATAACTTAAAATCCCTAAAATATAATATTATCATTTAATAGTTTTAAGCCGATAATTTGCTTAAAGGCTCAACTAAAATCAAATTTTTTGTGGTGTAAAATTAATTTTTCCTCGACCTTTTTTTTATTTAAAATAATGTATAAAATATAATATATTTTAAGGGGAGAGTTGAGTTCCCAAGTAATATCTATATAATTTGTCAAATAGTAAAAAGCGTAATTTTGTTCTTTTGACTCTTATAAATAATTATAGTGAAATAGTTAATTTTAAATTAACATTAATGAATTTTTTTTGAATATTAGATAGTATTATATATGCTATATTTATTTATTACTTAATAAATAAATATATTATTACTTATCTTAGATAAAGCTTTGACAGTTTTGCATTTCTAGATTTAATAATTAAAAAGGTTTAACTAGAATTTATCTAAGAAATTCTTAATTCAATTAAGGTCTTTTGGGCTAATATATATTTGTACCATTATTCATTTTTAATAAAAATTTACAATTTATCTTGATAATTACAATTAGTAAAATAATAAATTATAGCTCAAAGAAACATATTTTTATAATGTAACTTTATAATATAATTATTTAATTATCATTAACTTTACATAATGCATGCGTAATTTATTATAAATACAATTATAACACATTTTTTTTTTAAACAAATAAATTTCATTTAAAATAATAAAAATTCTAATAAGATCACAATATTTAAGTTAATAGACTAAAAAAAAAAATATTAAAATTAAAATTTTAAATGTGTTAACATTTAATCTAAAAAGGCATATACAATAGTTACAGACAAAACTTTAATTGTTTTGATTAAATAATCATTACAGTAATTATTATAAATGATATAATATGAACACTATTGGAGTGCAACAACATACTTTCGACTAATAAAGTACAATGAACAAAAAAAACTTATTTGGAATCACAACAATAAATTTCAACTCATTATTATATTTTAATATAATATAAAAGATTTAAAATCAATAATATTTTACTCAGAATGAATAATTCAAATGTTTAAATAATTTATAAAAAAATTTTATAATCAAATTATAATTACATGAATAGATAAATGTAAGTACAAAAAGTAAAAAATAATAATAATAACACTGTGGTTATAATCATAGTTTTCAGTCTAAACAAATAGAAAGTAAAAATTAAATCTTACTTTATGTGTATTATTTTATATAAATATATATTTTAATATAATTTGCTAATTCAATGCATTTCATTTGTACATGTATTATAAAAAGGAATATTAATGAATGCATAGTAAAGATATACAATGGATACATTATAAATAATATTAGATAATCACTTCATCATTTTATGAATTTTTATAATACGACCTAATCTTTGTTTAGGAGTAGCCATACCTTTTCTAGGTTTGCAAACTATAATAAAAATAAAAAATGTCAAAAAAGCAATAGGAATATTATATTTTTATTGAATAAATTAATAAATTAATTTAGCAGACGAATAATTATATAAATAATATATATACTATTTAACATTTAAATTTTCTCAATAATATTATTGTATGACCTACAAACTATCATAAAAAATTAATTGATTTTCATTATACTTTAAATAATTATTAAAATTTCTTTAAAATTATATAGATGGTTTTAAATCTGAACATTTACAAAGATGTAGATTTAAAATTTTTGTCAAATAAAACTAATTTAAATTTTAAAATATTATAAAATAGTTATATAGTGTATATGTAAACATTCAGTTTTCTACATTTAATCTATACCTAAGGCCATTTTTATTGAATATGTTATTTACCTCTCTTGTAAATAATATTATTAATATATAATTATGATTAGAACACTAATTTAAATAAAAAATTATTTAATATATTGCAGTTAAGAATTAATGATAAATGGCAAATAATAAAATTAAATCTACAGAATAAATTATTAGAAAAATATTTTAGGTATTATGTATATTAAAGTTTTTAATAATTTATATTTAAAAATTAAATTGTTATCACCTTTAGTCATATGTGAATCACATTGTTTTTTAGATAATGGCAGTTCATTAGTTACAGTAACAATAGAATCCATTTGATTGTTATGTATTGAAGTATTTCTAGCATTTAAAATTGGTTTGGATTTTGATAGATTTTCTTTTTTCTACATAATAGAAATATATTAACCATTTTTACTTAAGTTACTAAAATCAAGATGAACATACTATATATTTAGCAGTTACTTGTTTGGGAACTTTACAGTTTTTTCGTTTTCTCTTTTCTGGAACTTTAGGATAAAGACAACGTATATGTTTACGAGGTACTCTTTCACTAGATCCTAAAGATGGTGGAATCCATGTAATATCTGTATTATCTTCATCTTCAGAATTTGTTACTGCAGGATAAACTACGGAAAAATTATTGATGCAATAATATATTTTTTAAACAAATAATTGTGGTTGTAATGACTTATGTTAACTATTGTTGTGTGCAATAAAATTTTTTAAAAAATTGTGTAACAATCAAAGAAAAATCATGCTCAAAATAACATCAGAGCATATTTTGAATTATGAAACAAAGAATATTTTACATAATAAAACAAATTTTCAAATTTCTATTTTGATGATGTTGACTTCTCTAGTGGACAAATATCTCTACATAATCAGAGAAATAGTTGAAAATATGACTGTCTATCAGAAATTTAAAAATAGTGAATATCAAAAAAAAGTGAACTGGTTTTTTTGCTTTCAATACTAAACAATAAAAAAATGTTTCGATTTTAAACTTAAAAATATATATTTTTATACTAACAAACAAAATTTTAAATCATAGGTATGTAATTTTCTAAATAGCCAAACATAACGGATAGAATAATAAATAAATTATGATTTCTATTATTTAAAAAAATTGGAATTTTAATAGTCCTTAATACTCTTTAATTTAATTATAATTTAAAGCATGGTATTTTTATGGAATAAATGTAGAAAAGGATAGATCATTTTTGTCAGAATTATAAGTTATTATTAAAATGAATTAGTAAAAAATATTATGTATTTATACTCCCAATCAAAATTTGTATAAGAATTCTTTGATTCTTAAATAACAATTTATACATGTTTAGACTAAAATAATTTAATTTCAATACATAAAAGTTAAGGTTTAATAACAGTAGAAAATTAATAGTTATAGAATAAGTTAAAAGATTTTTTTAAATAGATCATCAATTTAGGTTTAAAACTCATTTAAGGTGGGTATATATTTTAAACACCTCTAATATCAGCTTTAAATATGATAGACATATAAAAATATTTAAACATTTTTTATAGGAACTACATTAATATTTCTCGTATCCAAAAAAATATTTTTCTATCAATATAAAAAATTTTCAGAAAAATTTTTGAAGACAAAACAATGATTTAAAAAGCAATTATCCTACTTCCATGATTAATACTTATAATTATAAACATAATAATGAAGTTTAAGATATATATTAATATGCTAACAATATTTATTGATTATTCGAAAATATTAAAGAAATACTATTTTTAAAATCATTCAGAGAAATCACACTTACTAAAATTTTCATCTTGCCGAACTGACTCTATTGGTTCATCACATAAATCAGCAAAATCTGATTTGGAATCTTCAACTTTTTGAATAATTTCACAAGTATAAGATCTATTTTTAGTAAGATAATTTTCTTAAATTACTGATATACTAATTACTTAATATTAAATTACACATAAAAACATTTTTTATAATAAATAAACTTTTAAATAGCTTACACAATTTCCTCATGGTCTAAAGTAGAGTTTTTACTGTCAATATCAATATCTTGTTCTTGTTTTTTTATACGCAAAATCATTTTATCTAAAATTATATATATTTTACGATAGTTGTAATTAAAAAAATATATTTAAAAGATAAATTACCTTGGTAGGCAAGTTCACTGGAATACTTTAATGGAGAATCATTAAGCATATTTTCAAGCTCTAATTCCATACTATCCATTTTACTGTACAATTACAGAAAGTATTGCATAATTAATACAAATAAATTTAATCATTTATAAATCCTTTTATAATACTTTTAAATAACAGGTCCTCTAATATAATTAACTTTAATTAAACTCTATGAAATTTATTTAGTTAAATTCACCATAATAAAACATATTTAATATATGATAAAGAAATCTTGAAAAATTACATATTTTTTTTTAAATAAAATGATTGGTTCAATTTTAAGTTTCTATTGTATAGAAAAAAAATCGTTAACTTTTTTAACATTTCTAACAATAAGAAATTGTTTATAGTTCATTTAGTTAATAATTATAGTATATTAAATTGTTTATTTATAATAGGAACACACAAGATGTGTACCTCTAATCTTAGTTTAATTAATTTTTAAGTTATATAACATTTATTATTTTTTTCAATGTTTATTATCACCTTAACTGTTAATAGAATGACTTTAAAATGACAAAAAAATTTATTTTGGAAAAGAGCTTGATTTTTATGAGCAAGTTATTATTTTATTAAAATGTTATTGATATATCAATAAATCTTAATGAAAATTTGATACCAAATTTCTTTACAAATTATAAATAATAAAATGTTGATATTTGAAGATATTAACAATTTACTTATGCTAAAAAAATTTTGTTTTCATAACTTAATAATGAATTTTTAAAAATTTGATATGTTATTTCATACTGGAGATTACTATTATAAAATATATATTATTTTTTTTCAATAATTTGTTGGTAATGAATACTGGTATTGTTATACCTAAGTTTCAAGGCAAAAATTTGAAATTTTGTCAAAATTAAAATTAAAACAAAAAGTTATGCCATATATATTTAATTCACTAATTCAAAATAAGATACCATTAGTGTTTTTATAAGAATAATAAGTATATTTTTCTTTAATAAAAAAAAAATTATTAGTTATTACATATAACATAAAATTAATCGCACTTGATCAGTACATGTACAATAGCGATAATATCAAACAAAATGGGATTAAGATCATGAAATATTAATTTTTAACAAGAAAAAATTGATTTGTCGTATATGATATAATTAGTTTCCTTTTTGGTTGTTTAAACAACCATTACAATAATCATTTTTTTAAAATAAAAGTAGTAGCTTCCAGTCATATTATGCAATTATAACATAATGTCAATCTCGTTATTTTATGAATACAACAGATTTCTAGAAAAATATTGATTAAGTTATCTTATTTTGCTGAAACTGTAACTTACACCCTTCTACCTATAAGTGGTCATAAGTTCTAATATTCATATTAAATTTTAAGAAATAATAGATTTTACTTTCTAATTATGATGTTACTCAAAAAAAAAAAAGTTAAATAAAAGTAATTTATTACCAGAAGTCCATATTTTGAAAGAAGTATAACATAATTTGTGAATAAACATACAAATAAATTGTTACTAGTAAACATAAATTGATTTTTTACTTTTTCAATAAAATTTTATAAAAATTATTTATTATATATTTCAATAAAATTAACAATTTGCACAAGAACTGCATATACTAATAGTCTAACAAAAGGACAAAAATTTAAGTATAAGCCTAATCATAATTATTGTAACCATTCTATGTTACGAAGGCACTTGAAACTATATCATTGTAATTTAATAAACATAAATAAGCTCAAATTTATTTTCAAAAATTAAAACTAACTACAATGTTACATAATAATCTTATAAATATGGCAACTTACAATATACAATTTAGTTTATGAGATCAAAAGATAAAAATTTAATCAATACAAAATATATCTTATTAAATTAGAAAATGATTTTATTATTTCTATACACAATGTTATGATGTTTCAAAAAAAAAAGTATATATATATATTTATATATATTTAAATAAAGATGATTAAAATATAATTTGTTTAAATTTTTAGTTTTAATTTTAACTAAAACTAAAAATTAAGTTTGCTATCAATATTGAACTTAGAATCACACACTTATTGTAGATAAAAAAAATGTAATTTTCTTATAAAGGGGTCAACTACAAACACGGTTATTGTTACAGAAAAATACCTTTTGTGTAACATTCAGTTGTACCAATTTATTTTTGGTCTAAAGTTGTAAATTTCACATATACATAAGACAGTAATAAAATAAAAAATATATTAAACAAATAATTAAAAACTATCATATGAAAGCATCGTAATGTTTAAACTACTTCTGGTTTAATTAGAAAAATTGACTCATCAAGTATTTAATTATTATTCTGTAGTTCAATCTATCAATTATTTAGATTTTATTCATTCGACATTATGTTGATTAGCGTACATTCTAAAATTATATACGTACACTCTAAAATTTTTTACAAAAACACTCAGAGTTCATTTTTTAAGCTCTCTTTCCGAATATCAAAAGAGGCCAGCTCTTAAGAATGTTTCGAGAATGTTATTGTTATGTTTTCAATTTAAATACGAATTTTTCTTTTTGAAAGTTAAATGATTTTTTTTAGATTACGATAAAATTTGTGTTGGTAACTAAAATAAGATTCAAATTTACTTTATTTGAGAGGACAAGTGTTTCTATTGAAGCCATCACAGCCCCCATGCTATCTATGCTAATGACTCCTAATAAATATATTATAGTAGCGCTATTTTATTTAAAACATGAATATTTTAAAGAGTATAAAAGTTTACAAGATCCTATGTAGTTTGCGTGAAGGCACACTTTGCATAGCTCTTATATCGGCTCTGTTATATATGGCATAGTCAAATATAGACAGTGAAATTTTAACGGTTCTATGAATCATTTATATAAATTAAAATTTATTGTACATTACGGTATATTTAATATAGAACTCATTAAAACTCAATAATAATATCAACATTATGGATTAGTTCTTTTATATAATTATGATAATCATTAGCGTAAATAGTGTTCAAGATTTGGGGGGGGGCTTAAAAAAATTTATCATGATATAAGCTTATACTATTTTAAATCGTGCTTTATACTTTTTTATACTACAGTCTACGATGGTCATTATTAACTATTAAACAGTAGTTGTGTGTAAATTGTAAGAACAATAAAAAAAACGGTGGCACAGTGTAGACAAGGCATAGATGATATTTGACAGTGATTAAAATCACTCATAAGAAACGCTTCGATGCAAATCTGTAGATAGTGTTTCATTTAGAGAAATTGGTGGAATATTCCAAAAGCAACATCTACTCTTATTTCTTTGATTATATCCTAATTAGTAGTTCTTTGATTTTAAAATATAATATATGAATAAATACTAATTTAATATTGTAATTTAAACGGAGAAATTATAAAAATAATAAAGAAGTTGTATTTTGCTTTATTTTTACGTGTATAAAAATTTAAAGGGCTTGATACAATAAATTTCAATAAAAACTGTTTGTTACTATAAATAAATGCACTACAAAGAACTTTGATCAGTAACAAAAATATACCATTCTAAATCAACTTTTCGCGATGTTTTCATAGACTTTTTCTATAACTTCTAAGTTTTAATATTATTAAAAATTAGTATTTTCATATAAAAAATTCGCATCGAAGCTAAAAAAATTGGCTATTTAAGCTAACTCAAATTTAAAAATTACTTTTTCGACTTTAAAAAAGTAAAAAAAATTTAATAAGTTTAATTTCATATGTCTTATGAACTTCATTCTATGTCAATTAAATGATATAATANTATGTCTTATGAACTTTATTCTATGTCAATTAAATTATATAATATTCATGAAAGTCAATATATTCTCCTAATAAGATATTTTAAAATAAAATAAAATACAAAACCTAGAATTTTAGTAGAAAAATAGCATATTTTTGAATACGGTAGCCATTTGCGCATAGAAGATAGGTCGTCGGGACAAATTTTTTTTTTTCATTTTATAGTACATAAAATAAGCTTTAATTTGATATATGTTTAAAGGACGCAGTATTTCCGGAACATTTTCAAAAATTAAGTTGAAAAAGTTAGTTTTTGTAAAAAAGTTGCTATTTAAAATTCCCCCAATGAGCAGATTAAGTGTTAGATTTTCAAAAAAATGATATCAAATGAAAGGGAATTATCTAAGGTTTTAGTATAAAAAATAATTATGTTGATTTGTTTATTTTTGAAAAAGTAATGGAAGTTTTAAGAAAAAAAGTGAAAAAAATGACAAAATTTACCGATTTTTAAATTTGTAATTTTTTTGGATATTTCCCTCATTTGCGGGGAACGAGGGAAAATTTTTTAATTTTTAAGGGTAATGTCTTCAACTAGATACGATTTTTGACCTTTTGACGTTTTGTTAAAATAAATCGGTCCAGTGAGAGCTGAGAAAAAGTGGCAACAGACATAAAAAAAAAATAAAAAAAAAAAACACATCTTAGTAAAACCAATAATTCCTCAGCTTCGCATCGAAGCTAATAATTATAAGTGTAGGCAAATACATTTTTTGGGTGTGTTAAATTTAATTTTCTTTCCTAAAAAACTACAGAATATACATAGGTTTTTGAATTATTTTTGGGAGAGTAATTGTTTAAACTCTGTAAATATCATTAATATATTTATTATTCTATGTTTTTGTATATTGTAATATATAGTAATATATTGTAATCATAGTAAAATTAATACCTTCTCAGCTTTGCATCCAAGCTAAAATAAGTTTAATCTATTGGACATAATTTCTATCCACTAGTAAATTTTATGAATATGATTACTTAATATTTCACTATTCTTAAACTATGCTATCGTGTTAAAATTTATTTGAGATATTTTAAGTGAGTTACTTAAAATAAAAAATTAATGGACACATCTAGCTAAAAACGTAATTAAAAAACGCGTTACATAATAGCGGACTAATATCTCTAAAAGAAAAAATAAATAAATAGTACGCATTCACGGACAATTTTTAATTAATCAATGTTTTAATAAATATTTTTTTGAAAAAAACTATTATTAAAAGAAATGTGTAAAAAAATCTAAAAAATATAAAATATACATTGAGAAGTGAAATGAACCTAAATATGCAAAATAATACAATATAAAATTTTAAATTTGTTGTAGTATGAAAAAAATTTTACGTTTAATAAACTTATATCAGAGGCGTATTTATATTTCATAACTCAGACACATTATAATTTATTATTATTATGTAATAAAAATAATCTGATTTAGTTTAGTAAAAGACCCTTACTCACATAGGCGAAATTAAGGGAGGTCTAAGGGTATTAGCACTCCCTTTTTTAATTAGTACCTTCAACAGTTTTAACATTTTATTAATTGTTTTTTGAAAAATATTTCCATTTTCAGAATGGAGTAAAAACTAATTTCCTTCTCCAAAAAATTTGTTAAAATTGTGTCTTTGTTTAACAGTCTAAACCATCTACTTCCAAGATATAATCCGGGATGGATTAAAACCTATATGAAAATGTATATCAAGAATTCCTGTTTATAGACTCAACTACACCGTCGATTATTTTATTTTTACTCAATCAATTATTGATAAATTAATAAAAATTAATATATATTTTAAATATATTTAAAAATGAAGATTGATTTTTAATTAGTTTTCAGTTTTTTCATGATCTATTTTCACTAGGGTCAAATTAAGTCCTATTGAGATGAACCATTCTATGAAAAATATCGCTACAACAAAAAAAGTGATAAGCAAAAAAAAAAATACTAAAGAAAAACTCTATCACTAACTATGATTAGGCTAGTAAAATTTGAGATTGGCCCCAAGGCGGTTGCCCCCATTTATTTCAAGCCTGAATATAATTAAAGACGCAATTATTATTTTAAAAAAAATTCTTCCTAATAGAATAACAAATTGCCAGGGGACTTTTGTCAGCCTGCAACACAAAGAGGTTTGATGCTTGCATAACGAGCAGCTATGGTACTAAAGGTGGCCACCATCTAGGCGAAATGTGCACATCTATCAGATATGTTAATCGGATCATGAGTGGAAATTAATTTTAAGTTAATTTATAATTTAATTTGAGTTAATATATCATTTAATATAAATGATTATAACACCTCGTGGTTTATTAACCAAAATGATGATATTTGAAGTTATATAGTGTTCAGTAATTAAGGAAACGGGTTCTAATGTTCTCATTGTTTATAACAATGTACCTGTTTCCTTACTCACGTAACACTGTACATGGTTGATATGTAAAAGATACCGTAGCTCGTGTCTAGATTAAGGAACAGAAATTAAATACAGACGAGTACTTAAGCTTCTCGCATAATAAAATAAATATCACAGTTAAAATTATTAAGTTAAATTAAGAAAATTAAATTTAATTGCTAAAAAAAGAAAATTAAGTTAAACAAGGACAAGAAAACGATTGTTATTAAAATCATGTCTTTAATAAGACGATGACAACAAAAATAAAATAAAATAGTTAGACAAAATCAAATAATATAATAAACATCACGGACGGTATTGGAGCACAGCCGTTAATGTTAATTAAAATTAATTAAAAACAACAGGAGTAGCCTGGACACTCGCTCTTTAGTGTTCGCTAGAAGTGGAAACACGTGCTCTCCAAACATGAATAAAATTAAGTTAATTTATAATAAATAAAATAATTAATAAAACACAGCTCATTATATAAATATAATTATAAAAAGCAAACAATATTCAGTCTTCGAAGAGACCCATCGATGGTTTAGATGCTTCGCCGAAAAGATCTGACTGTTTATCGTTAACGGCTCTTCTTCATCTTTGAGACAGCAGTGACAAAATTAAGAAACATATGCTCTCTAGCACGGTCAATAACAGAAGGAAGGATGAAGAGCCAACATCGATCTAATAGCAATTTCAAATCGCTAACAGCCTGTCTCTTTGGGAGGAATAAATACCGATAAATAATTCGATTTTAATTATATTCTCTCTTGTCGTCTTATCAAACGGTCAGTGGCAGAAATAATGAGTTGTTGACACCTTTTCTTAAAAAAAAATAACAGATAAATAGATGTAACAAAAATTATAAACGGTCTACCTTTGAATTTGTGACGTCACAAAATAAAATAACCTTTTCAAAATGAAGAAAAATAATTTTAAAAAGCAAAAAAATATTTTTCCACGGATGAATATATATCATATATTTACCTAAAATTAATTAAAAATTACTGAAGAAAATTTAATGTAATTTTTTTTGCTAATTTATTAATGAGCTGTTGATATTAATTTATTTGAAATTGTTTGCTGAAATGCATAAATAAAAGAGAATACATACTTACATCCGGCATTCGTAGTTGCCGGATGGTCAGTGACATTACACGATTAGCGAAAATTAAAAAATACATGGTTACTATTTCGCGGACCCGGTTACGGGCGTTATGCAATGGTTACCACATGGTTAACAGTGAATGGCTATCGTGATTCAACTGCTGCCACTGCAGAGTGCAGAAGCAGCTGTGCCTATATGAAATAATAACCCGATTGTCGATAGAGTTTGTTGATCTCACGCGGTCTCGGTCTCGCTGCCCTTCACCCTTGCGTGCATCTCTCCTCCCCGAACCGTCTTTTACGACTGTCACTGCCACCACCACTACCCTTTCATCTATGCTGACGCCCATGAACGATAGCGGCAGGCAAGAGCAACACAGCCGCACGCCGACTTCTACTATAGTTCAACCCCACCACCATGCAATCCGGCTCCGACCACTACTAATAAATAAAATAAATTGTACATATGTACTTAAATATATGCGTACAATATATATATATATATATATTATTATTCCCTGAGAACACACGGTGTCCGCACGTAGAGCGCGCCGCCGCCTCCCACTACGATTGCACCTTTGTGTATACTGACGACGACTGCATTGAATGCATCGTCGTCGCTGCCGCCGACGACACCGTAGTGCGTGAAAATGTTGTAAACACGAGAAATGCGTGTGGTGGTGTCTCCTCCAACAACGAAGAGGATTGTGACCAAAAAGAGTGAGGCGTGTTAGTGTGTTTTGTATGTATTTGAACATTGTCCGACGAAAGATGGCCGGAGAGGTTCGATTTCGACTGAACGATAACCGTGAGTGTTAAAATATCACATTGTTGATGAACGGACTTAACGCGTATACTACCCATAAGTTATTATGGTATTCTACTCTGTTGTGTATACCACAGTGTGTTCTTCGTTCACTAGGCACTTAGGTCGATTTATACAATTTGACTATACCTATCTAGTTATAGTAATTTGAAGTTATGATGTAGTTTGAATTAAACTAAAATTTAGCCATCGATTTTCAGTCATCTTATTCTTTTATCAACAAATAGTACATTTTGAACTATATGTTTTATTATAAGTTTCATTGATTTCTAAAAGTGTTATTACTTTTAACTAGCTTTATTTGATTAATTTTATAGAATACCATTTGAAATTTGAAGTGGTGCTCCCCTATTACGAAAACAGAGTTACAAAAAAATAAATAAAATATTTGTATTAATAAATAATTTAAATTTTAAAAAAGTAGTCTTACAAAGGTCACTTCATATTATTATTTTATTAAAATTTTGGAATTTCAAAATTACTGAACTACGGTATAAATTTTGATTCTAATAATTAAAATAAAATAAATTGTTAGGAAAATTTGAATCTCAATGAGACACAAAAAATCAATATATACATATAAGTTTTATATTGATTATATTAATTTATATTGATACTCCTCAATGATATTTTTAAAATTAATATGTATATAATTTGCTTGCTTTAATCTAATTAGATTTTTTTATCAATGTAATTATGGAAACTGTACTTTTATTCTGAATAATTTGACAAAATAAAAATTTTTTGAGGAAATTAATACTTGTTTAATGTTTGAGGCTATTTATACTTAATTATTTCACTTATTATTCAGGCTAAATTCAAGATTATATTTTAAATATTTTAATAGGTAGAATGCAACATAATATTGTTTATAAACTATTAATGAATGTTCAGGATTAAAATATTTTTTTTATCATTTAAATTTTGCATTTTATGATTGTTTCATAAAATTATAATTCAAAATTTATGTAAACATTTTTAACTGTAATTGAAGTCTATACAGAAATTGCTTTTTATGTAACAATTTGTAAGTTTTGTAGTATCAAAGTAGAACAGTAATAACAGTTTTTAATGTCTTAATTAATTGAATATCCAGCAATTCTCGTTTTAACAAAATGATTAGAGTGATCAGATCATTCTAAGACTTTTTTAATTTTTAAATTACATAACAAAAATCTGCAAAAATTTTAATCCCAAAAATTGGTACATAGCACTTTCTAGCTCAGTCTATACTTTTTTATTAAAGCAAATAGTTAAATAAAAGATTTAATTTTAGAGTACTTACTAGCTTTTTTTTTCAACAAAATTGATATATATATATTTAAGTATGCATAACTAGTTCTTATGTTACAATTTTAAATTTTGAATCAAACTTATTTGGTATCTACCGTTATTAGTTTCCAATAATAAATGAGTTATTTAAATTTATATTAATTATTGTCTATTCGTATTAATTTATATTTATGCATGTGTATATTTTGATAGCTGTATATCTTGCATGATTAATTACAAGGACTTTAAGGTAATTTTTAATTTGGAATACATTAAAATATACCTCAATAAAAATTATGAGTTAAAATTGCTTTTATTATATGTAAAAAATGCTTATAATAATGAATATTTCACAAAAATTTTATTATAGAGAAAGGGAACCAAGAAAATGTTATTATTTGATGAAGATATTAAAATAAAAGCTGAACAATAAGAATAATGAATCTAATGAGTAGCTTATTCTAATCACTTTTTATTATTATCTGAATACATTTTTGTTTTACAACCATTTTCCTATTATCTATTGACAGATGTAAAGGGTCTTTATTTTATTAGATTTTTTATATAAATAGGTTACTATTATTATTTTTTATGTATAAATTGTACAAAGTTAATAAATGCTGTTTATTTAATCGAATATTGTTCTACAACTAATATACAATTAATAATTTAAGTAAAACTAAAATACTGTAAAATAATTTTAGTAGATTATTGAACCAATATATTTACCTATTTTATTTATTATATTGATATTTAATTACAGTTGACCCTTTGCAAACATTGGACATATGCCACGAAATTGTTAACATGACTTTTTGCGCTACAGATAGATCATTTACTTTGAAAAAATGTATTAAAAAACGATCTGTGGATAGATATGACAGTTCTGAAAGTTCTGATAGGTAAATATCTATTATTATTTTTGGAATAAAATAAAGTTTACATATTTTTATTATAATTATAAATTGAGCAATTTTTTGTTGTACCATTTAAAATATGTATTTTTTTGTTTTAAATATATATAGTTTAGCTTTGATTCTTAGTTAAGAAACTATTGGTATTACTCTGCCTTACACGATTACTCCACTCCTTCTAGACCAATATTGTTTAATTATACATTATGTATAATATGTCAGCAAAATTTATTTAGTTAAAGCTATCAGCACTATAATTTTGAACAATTTCCCTTAATCACCTTAATAAAGGGCAATATTTGAAAATATTACAGTTGTTATAAAACAGACAATATTAATACTTTTAGTTTCTATTTCATTATTATTTGAATTTTTTAGTGGAGTTGCAACCTTTATCACAGAACTTGGATCACCTATGACACCAGATAGTAGAGTTAGTGAATACTCAATCCCATCTCCAGTTGAATGTGAATCAATAATGGCACCACCACCGCCTATTCAAAATTCAACAGATGAAATTGATATAACATGTTGGCCTTGGGGGGAAGAATGGCCTGGTGACTGTTCTAATTTAGAATTATTTTCTGATACTAGTGATACAGATGACTGTAAAACAGAAAAAGACTTAACATGTATTGAGCTTAATAAAAGTTTAGAAGAAAACTCATGTGATGAAAAAGTTTTCCAAAACTCTTCAAAAGTTGGAGGCTTATTTAATACATCACCATTAACAGAATGTAAAAAAATTGAGTCTTGTGATAACAAAAAATCAAATTGTGACTTTGTTCCTCCCAAAAGTTACATTGTGACTGTTGATGAATCTCCAATAAAATATTCATTGTGTGAAGATGATGTGATTACTTCATCTGAAATCATAAACAATGATAAAACTGCTATAAAGGCAGAAGAGTTTTTATCTGATCAGCTTTCACCATCATATTTTATTAAGTGTTCTGACCAATTTGAAAAGACTGTAAATAATTTAAGTAGCAATATATCCACAGAAAGTAATGGTGACAGGTTATTAGAATCATGTATGGCTGAAAATTTAAATAGTAATTTATCTAATAGTGATGCAAACTTTAGAAGTCCTAAGAAAAAAATATGTTTGGATGTTAAAACTACTGATACTTCAGATAAAGGTGGTTATTTTATGCGATCATCTTCAGGGTCTTGTCACGACCAACTTAATTCTAAACCTTCCTTACTTGTAGACCAGAATAAAAATATTCAACACAATATTTTGATGACTGCAAAGTCAAAGTTCTCCATAAACAATTTGATAGATGAAAAATCTTGTACATACAAATCTAATAATTTGAATGAAAAATTAAATAGTTCTCAAACAAATATATCTTCAGATGATATGAATCCTAAAAAATTAAGATTTCCAAAATTAGATACTCACTGGATTTCACTCAGTGGAAATATTGTTTGTCATTGGAATGGCTGTGATAGTTATTTTAATACTTCTGCAAAGCTCATTGAACATTTACAAGTAAAAACATAATTGGTTTTGTTATTAAATATACAGAATGTTCAGTAAGTAAGGAAACAGGTCAATTGTTATAAACAATGAGAACAATTGAAATCTGTTACCTTATTTACTGAACACTATATATTAATAATTTAAATATTATGTTATGTAGGTAAAACACGTTAATATTCAAAAGTGTAGTGAAACTTTTGTTTGCCTATGGAATGACTGTAAAGTTTTCAATAAACCATCTTGTTCACGTTCGTGGCTTGAACGACATGTATTAAGTCATGCAGGAAACAAACCACTTCAATGTATTGTCCAAAAGTGCAGACAGAGATTTAGTTCTCAGGTTAATAATTTATATTATTTTAATTATTTTTTACTCTATAAATCTTTATAACCTATTTTAAATAAAACATACATTATATAAAAAAATCTAATATTAAAATATTTTATAAAAAAACTTGCTGATAATAATCCAATTTATAAGATCTCTTTTCATGTATTTATTAATTTTGATCTTTTAGAAAAACCAATAAAGAATTATTACATACTAGTCATTCTGAGGTGCAAATGTATAACTAATATTTTACGGGAATAGCATTAGATTTTTATCTTTTCTAAAATATTAAAATTGAATGCTAGTAATAACAATATACATTTATTTGAATTTAGGAAGGGGTTTTTAAACTCCATTAAAATTTATTTAAAAATTTTTCTATTATTTATTTCTTTTATCGTTCATTATGCTGAATGATATTATGCAAACTTTTGGAAATTTAAAACTTTTAAAATCCAACTTAAATAAAAATTAATAGTTACAGTTGTTTTCTGATATGCATATGAATGAACACATTTTTAAAAATAATATGTTAAATATATTGATTTTTTAATGTTTCAGATAATGTTAGAAAGACATGTTAATCAACATTTTAAGGTTTCTAACAAAGAAGAAGAAGGAAATAATGGTAAATTAATTAGAAGAAAAGGAAAAAAACTAAGATTACGTCGTCAACCATTTTCAGGTAATACTAATATTATGTTCTGAAATATATTACATAAATTACTGTTATATTTAAAATTACTCAATTTAATGTAAAATGAATATTAGAATCTCTATAATGATTAAATTCAAAGTTTATATCTTTTACTTTCTATCTTTTACTCAATTTTACGCTTAAAACCTAGAACATACTATTTTTATTATTATTTTTATTATTCTAAATTATTTTAAAATAAAGCATGTTTAACGTAACATATGATTAAAAAAGAATGATGTTCCAGTGACTGGTTCTATTTATTAATAATCTGCCTCTAAATTCAAAAATTATGTAATTTTTGTTAAATATAATAATTTTTTTTAAATATTTATGAAAGAGTGTTTTGATAATGATTTTAATCACTCAGATATTAATTCAATAATCTAAAAAAAATGCCTTAAAATCATTTTAAGAACAGTAGGACACAGTCTTATTGTACTTTATTTTTTTATTTTAACAATAAGTATGTTTTTGAAAAGTATTATTAAATGTATTTAAAAATGGGTGCCAAAAATTATAATAAATTTGTTCTTTTATACCATATAATATATTTTATTTTTAATAATTTTAGCCAGAAAATTTGATTACTTTGATCAAGCAACCATGATGGAATTACAAGCACAGCTTTTTTTAAGCTCTGTAAATAGTCAACATGATTTTATTGATTATAGTAGAAGAGCCATAAGATTTCGACCAAATGTAAGTGTTATTGAGAAATTATTATTTACATATTTATTATAATCATAAATGGTTATATACCCTCTAACATAAAATAAAATAAATGTAAAATAATTTAAGCTAATGTATATTTATATATAATTTTTAATCAAAATCTACAACTATTAAAATGTTAATAATATTAAATTTAAAAACATTGTGTGTTAAAAAATAATCAATATAATTCACTTAACTATTTATTAAAATTAAGACTTGTAAAAAATATTTATGTTACATTAAATTTATCGTTATTATATATTTTATTACTATTCTTTTTAATTCTAGGTTGTTGCTCAACGAATACTAGAAGGAAGTAAAGATTCTGAAGTGTTAGTTCGCTGGTTTCCTCCAGAACTGTAAGTATTTTTGGCATGTTTGAGACTAAAATTTTAATTATATGAAATATAATGGTATTATATTATATTATTATATATGAATAATTGTTTAATAAATTTTAGGTTGGATGATGAATGGATAACTTGTGATAAAAGTACAAATTTTAATATTAACGAGCGTGTTGTGCCTATTATGTCTTTGAGTATAGAAAGCCGAAACACACTTGTTAAACTATTTGGTAATATTTTTCCTCCAGTTTCTCGACGCCCACGGAAATAATACTGCATATAGTTTGTCAACAAAAATTTTCTTAGTTTCATTTTTCACTAGTTCTTGTGATATTTTAATTTAAGTAATAATAATTTATACCAGTGTGTCTTTGGCTGTAGAACAAATTTAATAGAAAATATTGGGACCAAGTGTCTAAAAATTTTAGTCTAATGATTCCTTAAATAATATTTTTATTCAATAATATAATAGTTAATAGAAATTTAATTGAAATAAAACATATCGTCATTGATGATATCCCAATATTTATTATCATGAAAATATCGTGCAACTTGTTATCAATATTACAAATAGAGCACTAAATATAATTTAAGTTAAAATATGTAATATATAGATCATCTTGTTTTTGTAAATACTAGTCTAACATAGCTCTGTTGTAATATCAGAATAGCATAAGCATTACATGCTGAAGAACACTAATTACAACAATTACATTTATTGTTTAAAACTGACTGTTAAATTTGCTTAGTAATATTATTTTTTTAAATATATATGTGTGTTCAGGTATTACTTTCTAAAGTAGTTAAAGTTATAATTGGTACTGAACTATTATATAGTGCCATTTGAATTTAAATGACTGAAATATTATGAGATTTAAATACAAAATATGTGGACCATTTTCAATTTGACATAGAATGATTTCACACATTTAAAACTTAATTTATAGTTATTTTTAGATATTTTAACATAATATATATTTTTAATTATTATTAAAAATGAATGAATTAAATAATTTAAAAAAATTATTTAATGAAAAATTAAATACAGATCTCAAATTATTTCATAAACTATAGCCTATATTTATATACTTCACTTATTTATTAATGTTCTGAACTATTTAATAAAAGGCTATATTACATTAGAATGATTTTTAATTAATTTTTGGGACTGTTACTCATTAGACATTTGTCATGATTTATTAGACCATTGTGCATTTTTAATTATCAGTATTAACATGTAAGCTTATTTTAGACAATATGCTAAATAACAAATGCTCATATCAACTTATAAACTGACTCATTAGTTTTCTATTATGTATTTAATTATATTAATTTTTTTTTTTATCAATATAAAAAATTGTTATCTATTGATTATTTTTTCTAATTAAAAATAATATTTAATTATTTCTGTAAAACTAAATATAAATTGAATTGATTTTTATGATATAAGTTAAACAATGTATACATTTTTGTTGTTTAAAATAATTTGAGAAACTGCTTAAATCTAAAAAGAAATTTCAATATATATTATAAAATTGTGTTCTCATATGTATTCTTGGCCATAATAATTTAAGGAAAAATTATTTTGTATTTATATAATTGCAATAATTTACTAACAATTATTAAATTATACAATTTAAAAATTATATTTATAAATAATAAAAACAATCGAGTATGTAATAATACTGATAAATTTAATAGAATTTTAAAATAACAGTAACAATATTTTAAGTAAATATCTTAAATATTTTATTTTAATGCATGCAACTGTTAATTTAAGTTAATAAACAGTATAACACAAATAATTACACCTTCTAGAGTACTTTCTAATATTGATTTTGTAAGAAATAAGTGATAAATAATTTACTTTTTTTTTTTTGAATCATATTGATTTATTTTGTAAAATATAAGTTCATTCTTTCTAAATAGTTCAAATGTTTGAATTTCTTTTTCCTTTTTTAATGTTTTGTATTTTGAATGTATTGTACTTTTCTTTAAGGTAATTGTTTGTTTTTTATTTTGTCATTTCTTTTAAGCTTTGTATTATATTTAATTTCAAATCTAGTCTTAGTTAAATTTTGATCCAATAGTTTTCTTTTGTGTTCAAAATATATAGTTAAAACAACTTTAAAAATTTGATTGTCATTACTTATTCACTTACAATCACTAAATATTTCCTACATGTAATATTTTTAGCATCATTCGCTATTTTTAATTTAAAAGACTGAAAATTACTGCCAAATTTTTAAAATCTTTGATTTAGCCTTATTCATTGTAATTAACTTTTTATGAACTATTTTTAGTATTATCAAGAATAGACTAAAGTAACTTCCAAGTGTTCATTTTACACATCAAAATTATAATTAACAAGTAATTAGGTAAATAAAATGTATGATAGAAAAATAAATAAAAATCTTTATAATTATAAAAGATTTTTTTGCATTAATAAATTAAATTTTTATATATAATATTTAAATTAAATGTTGTTTTCAATATGATATAATCAAACTCCCGAATTAACATGTGTTTACAATGATAAAAAAAAAAAAAAAAAAAATTCTCATAAATTTAACATTAAATATTTTAAAATGTAAACTTAATTTGAGTAGTTCAAATTATGTGTACATAATTATGCTAATTAATTTTTTTTTTTGAAAAAAACTTATTTTATATTCATTTTTTAGTATGATCTTATTTGTATACTGTAAAATAATTTTACAGTCGAAAACAAAACTAATATTTTCAGATTTAATTTACACAAATATTGTGCAACTCAACATATAATCAATTTTTAAGTGTAAATATTGTTAATATTATACTCTTAGTATTTATATATTTATTTGTACATTTTTTTGTATCTAAGTAATTGTGTTCAATTTTAACAATTATTACTTATATTTTTATTTTTAAGAAATTTATATACATTAAATAAGTACAAAATAAATAGTGATAGATTGATTGTAATATTTCAGACATATTTTTTAAGAACTATAAGCTTTTACTTTTGAACAGCTATTTGAGTTTTAAGAGATTAAGCTGAAGTTTATTTAAAAATGAATAGTGTGTCTAAGTCTTAATAAAATGTTAAGCTCTAGAATTTAAAAAAAGGCTTCTATATTAAAAACTTTATATAATTTTTATTTAGTTGAAAGAATGTTTTAATACAGAGCCACTACTTTAATATGAGGCTACATACTGTTGAATACGTATTTTGAGTAATAAAGTATAGGAGTGGAACACATCTAACTGATAATTCCTATATTTATGATACAATTAATATGTTTAAACTAAGTTAAAATCATATTTTTTATTATTTATTTTAATAATTTTTTTAATAAAAATGAATATATATATATATATATATTTAATTTTACATTATTTCAGAATAGCCAGTTTTCTAGCACCTATTACAAAAATAATTAATGGGTCTATGACAATTTAAGGACGAGTTATTGTTGAGTTAAAAGCAGGCTCAGATTAATGTCCTAAACATGTACATGAGTATTAGAGGCCTAGAAATAAAAATATTCTAGTCTCGTATTCAGTCTAATTAGTAAAATAACTTTAAACAATTCAAAGTTATATTAATATTAATTTTGTTTTACCTGCAGTTATCATTTAAGTTTTAACAAAAAATCGTTAAATTTTTTTGTGAAAATATTTTTCTTGGGTCCCATTGGGAAATCCAGCCCTAGTGCCTCAAATAAGTATAATAAAATACAATCATTTTACTACATAATTAGTATGTAACGAGGGTGTAGATGCGCTATAAATGTACACCAGTACTACAGAATAGATAAGATCTTATCTATTCTACGTCAGTATGAACTGTACCCACTCGTAATATACATCTACTTTATAAAAATATAACACAACCTGCTCCTTGTCTCCAGTCTACATTTTAAAATGTTAATAACTTTCAAAGTGCTGGTTTTTAGTTTAATCATTTTATGTTATATGAACTAGACTAATTTGTGTTTCCATTCAAGTGTATATCTTTACAAGGGATAAGACCTAAAAAGTATTTAATAACTCATAAACCGAGGAATGAATAAAAGATTTTTAATATAGGAGAAATTCATTAGTCTGATAAATCAATCACTTGTATTTATGTATGTTTATTTTATACGTCTATGATTATTTTAAATAAAATTTAAGAGTTCTTTTTACATCATATATAATTATCTATATATGCATATATTTTTTTCCTATCATGACGCCGTGTTTTTAATACGCTTTTATTAGTTTCACATGTATGTTGTATGTTGTATGTTGTTTGTATGTAACTTTGTAACTCTCCAAACGCCACGCGTTATCGCATATTCCGTTGTCTAGACTAGACTGTTATACGCATTCACCCCTCCCCACGCCTCGCTCACAATACGACGGTACACTATTCCTATAAAAATTTATTTTTAGTTATCGTACCCGTACACGCGTGCTTGTCATCAATATTATATATATGTAAACAAATTTTTATTTTGACTGACCAATAACGCCCGCGTCTAATGCGCCTTACGTATATATATATATATTCCTACCGCCGTTTATACCTCGGGTATAACGTTAGTCCGACCCGCCCGGCCATAAAACACAGCTATACTTAGTGCATGATACTTTTACGTAGTTAAGTCGCATTATTTGTATAAATATATATATTCTAATTACTATTAAAATTAATATATTAACACGATTTATTCTAATTAAGAGATATAAAGTATTCATTCCGATTACGAGGGATGATTTCCGTATCGTCATTTTTCGTCACTACCTCCACGTTCCGGGAGTGAGTAATTTACGCGCCTGCTGCTTTCCTTGGATGTGGTAGCCGTTTCTCAGACTCCCTCCCCAGAATCGAACCCTGATTTCCCGTTACCCGTAACAACCATGATATTGATAGTAACTACTATCATAACATGAAACTAAAAAGTAAAAAATAAATATAGTTTAAAAAACTAAAAAAACACGCTTTTAAAGTACATCGAACTAAAAAGTTAAAAATAATTTTTAAAATAATTATGAACAAAAAATACTAGTATTATTGTGATAAAAGCGTGGGTGCTTTGTGCCATATTTTTCGTATATTGAGCGCCCGACGCTTTTATCACAATAATACTAGTATTTTTTGTTCATAATTATTTTAAAAATTATTTTTAACTTTTTAGTTCGATGTACTTTAAAAGCGTGTTTTTTTAGTTTTTTAAACTATATTTATTAAACGTCGTATTTTCCTCTACCGGCGGGTTGCCCGGCATGCTTTATTTACACATGACCTGCTGGGTGCGATAACCCGGTACGCGCACACACACACACATTCAATACAACAAGTACGTAGTTAACCATTGTAGACGCTGCGAAGAATTAAGGCGTACTCTGAGTTGTATACTAAACAGTAAACAATGTTGTATGCTTAAAGTTTTTGAATGGCATAAAAACTTTAAAAAAATTGTGACAATAATTTTAACGAAATATACAATAGTAGTAATGCAGACTATCTACAAATTCACTGCGGTATTTTATTCGGGTTTTATATTTTTGGGCGTGTAATTCGTATATACATTACACGCCGCCGTCGTGTACAATAACAAACACACACATACACAACTTCCCCCTCCTTACTCCTATCAAAAGTATCACGTTGACGTTCGCACATCGATGATAACCCCGTTTGTTGTATGTTTTAGTATATTATTACTATACTGTTTCACTTGCAATAACTTATACGATTACTGATGACGTATAAACGAAGACGATCACCGTTTTGGCTGTATGATAACAAGACGCCCGTTGTTGTTTCCGCGATTCATTAAAATATTGTAACCTTATAATTATTGTTCATGTTATCTCAGTGCGTTAGTAATCACGAGACGTTGTTGTGTATTAGATTTTAAGTAATCTGTCATTGCTTTCGTTACCGTTTTATATACCTTTATGAGTAAAAGTTAAATCATCATTTTGTGAATTATGTCATCGTTTTAATACCTTTTGTTCGATGTGTTCGCTTTTATCGTCAATAAGTACATTGAAACACCCACGCAGGGACATGACATCTTTTTAATATATCTTATTAAAAGCCAAGGTATATATATTTTTATAAATTAAATTTTTTATTTTAAACGAGTTTTTATTGATGATTGTCCATAAGATTATTAAAATAAAGTTACTCTAAGTTTTGAAAATCGATTAGAAATAATAAAAAATACTGATTATTTTACATTACATAACGTATCACCAAAAGACTAATAGCATAACTAACAAAATGTTGATTTTGAGTGTATTATATTTCTAAAAGCGCAGAACTATTGTTATCATTCTCTACAACTTAAAATAGAAATGAAAATTATAAAAGAACAATACGCTGAGATGTTTAGAAACTCCTAAAACCTTAATATAATTTTTAACGTAATATAAAAACTGCTAAATAAAAAAAAATTTATATTAAATATTTTGAAAACTAGCCAAATCAATAATATCTCAATGTCACATAAATGTGATATTTTTAGTTATGTAATTTATATTTTAGAGGTGCATTATTATGTGAAATATTCAATTAGTACTATTTGATATGTTTAAAATTTAAACAGTCTGCAGTAGTAGATTTGGTACTGATTTTGCTTTTTATGCAATTTTATATCTATATTATTTATTTTTTTAATTAAATTATTTTTATTTTTGTATTTTTGCATCAAATAACTAATCAATTTTTTAATATTAACTTTTTACAATTTTGTTATCCTCCTAATTCTATACTTCAGTTTTTAATAAAAAATATATTTGAACATTATAATTGTTGTATGTTAATGTTAAATTTCTGGAGATCAATAGATTTTTAGTAATTAAAATGTATTTGTATATTTTCAACTTTTGATGTACCTTGGAAAATTTAAATAAAAACTTTGCTATACATGTCAGTCCTGTAGTGTAGTTTTATCTGCATGTTGTAAAAATAAAATAAACATTGTATACTGTAATTTGTTTGATGTATGGGTTTTAAAATGCCCTAAATCACAACCTTGTTTAAAAAGTGACACAACTGTAAAAAAAGGTTTTTTCAGTTTATTATGGTATATGTTAAATAAATTATGTAATTTTACTATTTAAGAATGTCAGAAGCATTTACTAATTTTTATTGATATATAATGCAAATTTTACTTTTGATTAAAAAATATTTTACTGATAAATTATATTAAGTTATAATTTATTAGTTAAATATTTAGTGTCCTAAATGAATTTGAAATACTTTAAAAGTGATTGAATAAAAAGTGAATTAAAAAATTCAAATTAATCTACTAACCAATAAAATTTTAAAACATCTAAAAGAATATTGAATTTTTAAAAAGGTTTGATCAAAAGTTAAATTTTTTCAACTGTGTCATTTTTTAACTGGGGTTGAGACATGATTATTCAAAAATGTTTCTTGCTTAATATTTTCATAAAATTAAAACTGTATAAGAATGGTGTTTAATAAAATTATTTAAAAATAGTTTTTATTAATTAAATTATTATTTTTATAGACACCTCAAGAGTAAATTATCAATGAGTAATCAATTGGTGGACTCATGTTTGTAAGTTTTATATTTTTTAAATCATATATAGTTTATAAATTTAATAAATTCTATTTGTGCAAAATTTGTTTATCATTAAATGTAAAATGATGTTTTTTGTGATTGAGTAAAGTTTTAATAGGTTGTACACAATAGTTTTTTAGGGTAAAAAAAGTCATTTTTTTTAATATTTTATATTGAAGCACAGTATGGTCAAATCAATAAAGAGGGTATTACTTTATGTTTATTGGGCTCCTGGAATTGCAAAAAATTGTTCTCAGGGGTAGTTTGCGGTATAGACCCAACTAGGCCAATATAGGTATTTTGAAAAACTAACAGAAAAATTAATCTAGCACTAAATTTTTATGTAGTAAAATGCTTAACATGACTTTTTTGAATACTTGTATTTTTAACAAAAAATGTTTTAAAATATTATTTAATTAAACAACTTAATTATTTATCTATTTAATCAATTCTCAAAAATAATTATTAGACAGTAATAATTGAAACTTAACACATTTTTGTTGCAATAATTAAATAATTTATCATATTTGCTTGGGTCACAGGTTGGTGAACAGAAGGGTGGAGAAGCTTCAAGAGCAAAGCTTCACTACCTGCACTGAAATTACACAGAGGTATTGCTTCTTAACAATATATTAAATGCTTTATTTTTGCTTTATTACTTATTTTTTCTTAGTTTATCAATTATTTGAGCTTCATTAGTATTTCATTTTGTTTTATTTAATTTATATACATATTTCACATATTATCAGGGTTTTTTTGTTTATTAATTTTGACAGTGTAAATACTTACTCCCTTATTTTATATTAAATTAATAATTATTTTATATTTTATTTTTGAATCTGAAGTATGAAATTTCAATTTCAACCTGCTTTCATAAAATATGTAGCATGTTAAAAGTTTTTTTTATTTTTCAGTTGAAATTAGCTATTCTATACTTCTGATAATTCTATTTTCTACAACCTTCCTTTGTTCAAGTATATATAATTATATATATTTTATGATTATAATCACAATTATGTTCAAATAGAAGAAAAAATAGGTTTGATTTTTTAAGACGCTCTTTGTAAATGTCTTATCCAATTCAATTTGGATAAGATCTGTTAATATAGTAGTAAAATTTGGATGTTAATAATTTAATTACTGTGTGGTTGATAGGTATAATAATATGATGTAGTCATATCATTATATAAAAAATAGTATAACTCAAAATTGTTTTAAATACTTGTAGTGATTATAATATCTACATAAACAGTGATAAGGTCAAAATTGTTTAGTAGAATAATTATTCCTTTTTTAATGTCTTTTTTTTTTCTTGAGAAACAATTTAGATAATGTAATAGTGACATAGTTTTTATTTGTTATAATTTTTGCTACAATTGATTTTAGTTGGTCTTTGACTTTATTATTAATTTATTAGTATCATTAGATAACTTTACTAAAAGTTATGTATAGATATGAAATAGAAACTGAAAAATAAAATTGAATATTAAAAAAAGAAACTGATAAAATAATTGTCATCTTATTATTATGATAGTTCTTATTAAGAATTTTTATGTACTACTATTAGTTAATTTTTAATTCAGCCGCTTTTTCTAGTTTTTTTATTGTATGTTATTTATAAATGATCAACAATTTTTATAGAGTTTGATGTTTTTTTTCAGAGCTCAGTCAGATTTATCGCAAAATAATTCATATTCTAATGATATAACATATTCTAACAGCAGAATTCCAGAAAATCATTTAGCAACTTCTTCAGTTCAAGGTGGTGAAAAACCTTTATTAGTTTCTCAAACAAAAAAACATCAAACAACTCAGCAAGTAAGTAAGAAAAAACTTAATAAATTATTTTAACAATTTAATTATAAATTACTTTATTTAGGTTACAACTGTTACTAAAGTTGTTAGAGAAGTTCATCATATGATTCCGAATGGTCATTCATTGGACTACATTCCATATACTTTAGGTGTTTCATCATCATCCTCTGCTACAACTACACAACCTAATAATTCAGTTCATATGTCAGAACCTGGTAAGTACTCATTTTTTTTGATAATGAGATTAGAATAATTAAGTATTATTCTTTAACATACATTTTTATTTAGGACATTTTAACAATGACTATCAAAACTACAATCCAGGATGTCAAGATTATGATCATTATGTTGGCGTCCACCCTGGAATTTCATATTCCAGCTATAATAATGTAGGTGGTCAGCAAGGTTCTAAATTAGATGGCAATGGCTACCAAGTTTATGATACAGGTGTGCCTTCTAATCAACTTAGTCATGATTATAATGAAACTGTTCCTACACCACCCAGTCCCAGTGCATGTAGTGAGTCTCCTCCACCACAACAACTCTTGGCCCAAGGTAATTTTTTGTTTTCACATTTTTATTAAAAGGATTATTTTATTTATATCTAAATTATATTGCAGAATATATGAGAAAAGGATTGCCCTATCCACCTTCAGGCTATGAAGAATTAGATGCAACTCAGTTACATCCAAATCATGATCATTATCATAGGATTACACCATCACCTGGTGATTGTTATGGTAAAAAAAAAAATACAAGCAAAATGTTGACATTTTTAAACTAAATTCAAAATTTTAGTATTATAATTATTTATTGATATTATTATTTAGATCAATTGAGTAGCTCATGGAACATGGATGAATGTGGAGATCAAATGAGTCAAGGTGAAATTCTATTTTATAATTATTTAATAAAAACTCTGTAGGTAGTACCTATGTCTGTGTCAGTCTTTATATTGCCCAAAAATGTTATAAAATTCAAGCTCATCAATAATCCAGTCATACCACAGTTTTTATTATTATTTATTTATTTAAAAATGCTTATTAGGGCTAATACTATTTTTTAATGAATAAGCGCTCAAATTATTAACTTAAGACATTAAAAACTTCTTATCAATTTTTCTCAATTTTTTTCTAATATTCAAATATTAACTTAATATAAATAGTTAAATTATCAAAATATCTTATGATACTACAAGTATAATAAATTCATTGTATTGAATTTGAAATAATTTTAAGTTGAGCATATAATAAAATATACTCTAGTTATTTTCATACTTTTTACCTTGTAGTACATTTTTTTTGCTTCTACAGCCTACCAAGTATCTACCTATCTTTTGGTGGAGAACATTAAAAGATAGATATCTGAACTATTTATACTTCAAAATGGGTTGATAGTTCATTGTGGGAGAGTTCTGAACTGATCTGTTTTTTCACTCAACAAAACTTTATAAATTTAATTTAATGAACAGTCACAGTATGGAACAGATACTGTCACATTTATGACTTGGCCATACTGTTTCTCAATACAGTAGAAACCGTTTATAATGACATACCGGGTGTAATGACCTTAGATTGCAAGCCGTGGCGGCACTCCTATATTGTATATACTAATTTGTATCGATTATAATGACGTCTGTATAGTGACTATACGGATGTTATGACGGTTATTTTTGATTTTATTGAAAATAGGTTTTATCTATATTGCCTATTAATTTTATCGAAGGTCTTATAACAACCAATAAAGTTATGTCATTGTTGTTTTGTAAATTTATCGTCAGTGTTCCGATATTTGTGTACTTGATCGTAATTGTCGTGCGATAAACTGAAAATTATATTTGAGTGTTCAATCTTTGCAATATGAGTAAACAAAAGCAATTTACAATTGAAGAAAAATCAAATGTAATTTTTCTTTTAAAAAAGGGTGAAAAAAATTCCGATGTAGCTAATGAATGAGATGTAGGTCACTCCACAATTTCTAACAAATGGAAAGCTCGAGACAAAATAGAACATATGTTTCAAAATGAAATATTATCAGAATTGGAAGAAAAAAAGAAAAAATCTTACTCTTAGTTAATAACTGTCCAGTACATTCTAAAGTTGTATTACGTAATATTAAAGTTGTATTCTTACTCAGTAACTGTACGTCTGTTCTTCAACCAATGAATCAAGGTATAATAAAATGTATGAAAACTTATTTTCGAAAAAGTTTGGTGCTAAAAATGATCAATAATATGGAAAATAAAATTGAAACCAATATCAACGTATTAGATGGCGCATATTACTGATTTTCAAAGCTTGAGAAAAAGCAACAAAGAGTACAATTAAAAACTGTTTTCATCACGCGGGTTTCAAAAATGCAATACAACTACAATTAGTCCAAGAAGAACAAAAAGAAATATGTTTTCCAGATATTGATGATTATGTTAACTTTGATAATGATGTACTAACTTCAGAACCACTTAGTGATGAAGAACTTATTTCTTCGTTGAGTGATAAACCTGAGGAAGACGAAAATAATGAAGAAGCTGATACTCCTGATGAAGATTTTTCCATAAATACAGTGTTCAATGCAGTAAAAATATCATCAAATTATATGGCTTTAAACAACGTAAATTCAACAATTAACTTTGAAAAACTAAAAAAAAAATAGAGAATGATTTTTATACGAATAAAATTCAAACTAATATTACGGATTTTTTTAATGTTCAGTAAAAATATTACAAAATTGTATTATTTTTTTTCTATATGAATTAAATTTACGATTATATAATGTAATATATAATGATGTATATATAATATAATAACACATTAAAAATGTTATTGTAATAAAATATTAAAATAATATTACATGAAAATATTTTGTTCACTGCTTGTATATAAAAGAGTTTTTAATTTAATTTTTGTTATTTTGGTTATTATGACCTATTTTGACTAGTTCCTTGAATGTCATTATAAACGGTTTCTACTGTAATTCATTATCACTTTCATAGTATTGAAATTGTTAATTTAGACTTAAAGAAATGTAAATAATGTAGTAATATATATTTCTAATTATTACATTATTAAAGTATCTGTAGATATGATACGCATTATAAAATATTACAAGACATTGTACTTAAATATAAAAATAATCTCAGTACAGCTTAATATTATTGAAATTTAAAAATATTTGTTTTCAATTGTAAGTTTTAATAAAAATTCAGTATAGAAATAGTACATAACAGTAGTGTCTAAGAATAATAATTAATCTTAAATCATAATTTAGTTATTTTATGTTAAAAGTTTTTGTAAATAAACTTCAGAAGTGGTAATGAATATTTAAACTTTTTTGTGTTAACAACTCGCTATTATTTGAAACAATATTAAATGTATTAAAAATGCAAAAGACTTCTAATGTTTTTCTTTAATTTAATTAAAAATTTATCATTTGATTCAGGTCTTCGATGGAGAGATCCTAATCTACCAGAAGTCATAACATTTTTAGCTAATCCAAATAATTTAATAAAAGCAAATGCAGCTGCTTATTTACAACATTTGTGCTATATGGATGATCCAAATAAGCAAAAAACTAGAACACTAGGTGGAATTCCTCCTTTAGTAAAACTTTTAAATCATGATTGTCCAGATGTTTATAGAAATGCTTGTGGAGCTCTTCGGTAATGATAATTTTTAATTTTTAAATGATTTTATAGTTATTTTCGACAATAGTTATAGAAATAAATCTTTATTTATGTATAGAAATTTATCATATGGAAGACAAAATGATGAAAACAAACGTGCTATCAAAGATGCTGGTGGAATTCCATATTTAATTAACTTACTACATAAAACTGCTGATGCAGAAGTTAAGGAATTGGTAACTGGTGTACTGTGGAACTTATCATCATGCGAAGTAAATTTCTTAAATTATTCATTATATGATATGTGTTATATATAAAATATGTTTTATTATAGGATCTTAAAAAATCAATAATTGATGATGGACTTTCAACTATTGTAAACCATATATTGATTCCACATTCAGGTTGGAGTCCAACAGTATGCAGTGATATTTGCTGGTCTACTGTATTTAGAAATACTTCTGGTGTTTTAAGGTAATTATATTAACCATACACCCAGTGATATAGTTCACTTCTATTCTTTACAATAGCTTTATTTTTTCTCTTAAATAATCATCGCCCGTTAAAAAAAAAGTTTTATCATTATAAAATGACAAAAAAACTCTTATTTAATGACTAGAAAAGTTTTGTAGTTCCTTTTAAAATAAAATTTAATTTGTCCTTACTTTTATTAAATTGTTAATATAATACAATACATAATATAAATATAATACATTTTTATGCAATAAATTTTTTACTAATGTTAATTTTCATATCCCCAGATTATATTTATTTCTATAATTTTTTACACTTATGATTAAATAACAACCATTATGTCTTAATGAAATAACAAAATAAATTATCTGGTATTATTCCGAACATCTGATATATCAGATCACTGTGATAATGACAATGACCAAGATGTTACATCAACATTTAAATAAACAAAAAACTAAGAAATGGTTTTATATTATATACTTGTGTATTTTGTATGCGTATACGCACTAACAAAAAAGTCGAGATGCTGGTATACCTGCTAATACCTTCCACTACACTGCTGTTCTCTTCTATGCAACTGACAATTTTTTTTTTTTTTTTTTGGAAATGTGATGCTTATGTAAGTAACAAAATCAAATCTAAAATATTAAAATTGTGTCTTAGAAATATAAGTTCAGCTGGTGAATATGCTCGTAGAAAGTTACGAGAATGTGAGCACTTAATTGATTCACTTCTGTATGTAATTTCAACTGCCATTGAGAAATCTAACATTGGAAATAAAAGTGTTGAAAATTGTGTTTGTATTTTGAGAAATTTATCTTATCGATGTCAAGAAGTAGAAGATCCAAACTATGACAAACACCCTTTACCTACTCAAAGTCGAGTGGGTCCTCAACCTAAAGGTATGGGACGGACACACACACACACATATATTTATATATGTGTGTGTTTGTTTTAAAACAATATTAAATTATTTTAATTTTTGTATTTAGGAGAAAATCTTGGTTGTTTTGGTGCTAGTAAAAAGAAAAAAGATGTACAAGTTGTATCACCAAAAGAAAATACTAGCACTCGAATCATACCTAGAACAGAACCAGCTAAAGGAATGGAACTTTTATGGCAACCTGAAGTAATTATGTTGAAATATCTTATATCTTATATTTAGTTTAAATTATACATTTTATTCAATTTAGATTTATATAATAATTATTGTAGATGAGAATTAGTTATATCATTAACTTATTTTTGATATTGTTTTTCTAATTTTACATTTGTATTGTAATTTGGCTTATTAATTTATTCAAATTAATAAAATTAAATAAAATGTCAATAGAATAATAAATAAAGAGTTATAAATTTTATTTCTTGATATTTTGATTTAATTTTTTTTTTTAATAGCTTATAATTTTAATTAAATTATATATTTCCAGGTGGTTCAATCATATTTAGCTTTACTTCAAAGTTGTTCAAACCCAGAAACTTTAGAAGCAGCAGCAGGTGCCATACAAAATTTAGCTGCTTGCTATTGGCAGCCAAGTATTGAAATTAGAGCTGCAGTTCGTAAGGAGAAAGGTCTACCTATTTTGGTAGAACTTCTCCGTATGGAAGTTGATCGTGTTGTTTGTGCAGTAGCAACTGCATTAAGAAATTTAGCCATTGATCAGCGAAATAAAGAACTCATTGGTGAGTATTTTAGATTATTTTCTTTTTTCATTGATATTAGGTTGTTATTTTTAAATAATTACCTAATCCTAAAATTAGGTAAGTATGCTATGAGAGATTTGGTTCAAAAATTACCTTCGGGAAATGCTCAACATGACCAAGGAACATCTGATGACACTATTGCAGCTGTACTAGCTACATTAAATGAAGTCATAAAGAAAAATGCTGAATTTGCTAGGTAACATAATTTTGAAGTGAATTTGATGCTGACTCAGCATAGTTTTTTTTTTTTTTTTTAAATAACTATATAGTATTTGTTAAATTTTTACTAATCATTAATTAATTTGACCAGATCATTGTTAGATTCAAGTGGTGTAGAAAGATTAATGAATATAGTTAGGCAAAGACAAAAGTATACGCCTAGAGTATTAAAATTTGCAAGTCAAGTTTTGTTTGCTATGTGGCAACATCAAGAGTTGAGAGATGCATACAAAAAACATGGATGGAAAGAACAGGACTTTGTCACTAAGACTATTGCTGCAAGAAATGCTGCTGGTGGAATTAACTCACCAAATAATGCTAACAGTACATTAAATCGGCCAATGGCTAGTCAGGGTGGTACTCGTTATGAAGATAGGACTATACAAAGGCAACCAAATCCAAATGCTACTTCTCAGATGAATCACTCACTACCTAATTCTACTTATCAGACTGTAAGCTAATAATTTAAAGTTAATTTAATTTAATTCAGTTAGGCAAATTTATTATTGAATTATAATTTCACTAATTCTTAATATCTTGGTATAAAATTTTACTAACCCAAAATCCAGAGTTTTGGGAACAAATTAAATTGGATTTTAATTTTAATTATTTCCAAGCAAAACATTTGGTTTGATTTTCAAACCAAACTGAACACCACAAGTTTTATCAGTTCAGTTAAAAAAAAATAAAAATCAAACGGTTCAAATATTAACATATTATGTTATTTGATCGTAAACATGACCATTAGCCCCTACATCCAGTTTAGAAAGTTCCTTTTAAAAATGAGTTTGTTCTTATAAAATGTTACCAAAATAAAAACCCAGCACAGGGGAGTCGCGGCACAGTGGTGATGTGGCATAGTTGGATCAAGTATAATGATATCTGACAGTGATTAAAATCACTATCAAAAATAAACGCTTCGATGCAAATCTTTAGATAGTGTTTAATTTTAAAAAAATTGGTGTTTTATTCCAAAAGCTATTTGATCTGCTGGTTCCTTATTAATATCTCGATTAAGATAAAGTATGTCGAATGAAAAAGGGTTTATTAAAAAATATTATTTCTCATAAAAAAATTGTGTGGATCCATAAACTTTTCAATAAGTTATAGCATTATAAAGTTAAATATAATATAAATAATAAAATCGAGAATTTTCACACGAAAATAGCATTCGGTAGCCGTTTTCACCACGAAGACAAGTCCAGAGGTCAATTTTTTTTTTTTCAAATTAAAGTACATTACATGAGCTTTAATTTAAGATATATATAAAAGTGTCAGACCTTCCGGAACATTTTCAAAAGTTAAGTTGAAAAAGTTAATTTTTTGTGAAAAAGTTGTCATTTTAAATCCCCCCCTGTGGGCAGGTTAAGTGTCAGATTTACAAAAAAAATATACCAAATGATAGGTAAAGACATCAAGCATCTATATAAAAAAAAATTATATTGATATGTTCATTTTTGAAAAAGTTACGGCAGTTTTTAGTAAAAAAAATTGAAAAAATTTCGAAAATTAGCGATTTTTAAATTTGTAATTTTTTTGGAGGTTTCCCCCATTTACGGGGAACGAGGGAAATTTTTTCAATTTTGAAGGGTAATGTCTTCGACTAGATACGATTTGTGATTTTTTGACGTATCGTTGAAAGAAATCCGTTCGGTGAGAGCTGAGAAAAAGTGGTAACAGACACAAAAAAAAAAAAAAACACATCATAGTAAAACCAATACCTTCTCAGCTTCGCATCGAAGCTAAAATTAGTGTGACATTTGAGAAAAACAAAATATTGATATCATAAGTACTAATATACTGTATTTTAATTAATTTTGTAAAGATAAATTTTCTTCAAATGTTTTCCAATATTTTTTATTATTTATTTTATTTTCATTCCATAAGAATGATATATGACTTTTTATAAACTAAATGACGGTTGGGTTGGGTTTATCATAAATCAGATTTAGTAGATTTGAAGTATGAAAATTTAAAGTTCCTTCACTTAAGTTACCATAAGTAACTTTTATGTGTTCAGAAAAGATGTATTTTTATAAAGTACTGCCTACACCAATTGCATTATAAACAGCCTTCTTTACAAACATCTTTAAACTTACAATGAATGTATATTTACAGAGCGATGAAATTCCATTAGCAGATATGCCATATCCTGAAGTAGCCACACATACACCTCCTGTTGGTGGTGTTTTAATTTATCCTCCGGGACATGTAAGTTTGATATGTACTATTATAATTAAATTTTTCCCTACATTATTTATAATTAAAAGTTAAAAGGCTTAAAAATTTGAAACATTTGCATTTTTTTCTTGCAACTTTAGTGCATTACTTAAAATTGGTATAAATTCCACGTAGTTAAGTATTTTAGAGAAATTCCTGAAATAGAGTATTATAGCTAAGTAGGATTGGTGTGTTAGAGATTTTTAGAAAACATGAGGTACTTTAAACATATATATATATACAAAATGATCTGTTTATAAAAACCCACTCAAATACGTACAAAATATTAAGTAAATTTTTTGTAGTTTTTCATGTACATGTATTTTTTTTTTATCAATCATTTATTAATTTTTTGTTCCATCTCATACCTTAAAAAATGTTAACTATTTTTAAAATTGAATATATTTTTAACTATTTGATATAATAGAAAAAGATCGAAATAAAGGAATGATTAGTTGATAACAATTTGTAAACCAATAATTTGGAAGTTATTAATCTGTATGTTTAATATTTTCAATGTCATTAATTCTTATTCACAATATTAATATTACTTGAAACCCTTATTGTGTATTATTAAATTTTAAAATTTATTAATTAATTGTTATTATTGTAGCCTCTTAGATCAGGAGAACCTCTATATGCTCAAGTAAACCGCGATAAGAAAAAGAACAAACAATATGATCCATCTGTTGCTGGATTGTCAATGGGTGGAGATATGTGGAATTATAACGAACAAGCACAACAAAAGATTTCATCTGTTGATGTATCTACTTCTCAAGGTGGTGATTCATGGGTGTAAATTCTATGTGCAAGAATCTTTTATTCTTTTTATTTATTATTTTATTTGTAAGTATTAATATTTACTTTTTGTAAGTAATTGTTATTACTATGAGGTGATATTATTATTATTTCTGAAATGTGACAAACCAATTTTTTATATAATGTTTAAATCTTAAGATATATTGACATTTAACAGTTAACCCATTGTTAAATTTTATTCCATGTCTATTCAACTTAAAAACAATTATTCAATTTTAATATTTAATTGAAAATTAATTTTAAATTTTCAATTAAATGCATAATCTTATTGTGCCAATAATAATAGTAATTTTAGACCTAAAGTTTAGATAAATAAACATTTTTATACTACTATTACTAAGCAGCATTTACATTTTTTTTTAATTGTTTACACTTCATTTTAAATTTATATGGAGAAAATGTGATTTCGATCTCATGTTTTTTTTTAAAGTGAATTAGTAAAGATATTGTTTAAATGATTTTTGTCTACCAATATTAATAAGCTAACAGTATTGTTGACAAATTAAAAAAAACAATTTGAAATGTTAAATTTTCGTGAGATAAGACTAAATTATATTAAAACACTATTGATTATTAATAATGTGCAATGATCTTTTTATAAATTTACATATTGTTAAAAAAAAAATTATTTAATACACAGATATTTGTTAATTATTACTTTTTATGCAATAATGTAGAACTACTTGAAAAAACTTAAATATACTACAACCAAATAGCTCTAAGTGCTTTATGTTCCTGCATTTAATATTTTTGTTATATGTAATTACTATGAACATTTTTATTTGCATTTTAACTTTTATTTATATTATATTAATATAAAATTTAAAAGCGACATTTTATTCCCATTTCATTTTTTTTTTCTATTATATTTATATATTTATTATGTGTTTATATACCCTTAGCTGATAGATATTTTATTATATTTATTTTAATATTTTGAAATTAAATGTATTATTTATGATGTAATGTAAAATTAATGCAAATTCAAAATGGCATTATTTTTATGTCACAAGATTAATAAATTAATAATGTTCCATTATCTTAATAATTTATCAATGAAATAAAATTAAAACCACAAAAATATATAATTGTTTATGTAACTTTAATAATAACAAAAGTGTAAAGTTTACCGATATTAAATATTGTCTAAAACCAGTAATATTAGTTTATGATCTAAAAAAATAATTAAAAGTGTCATATCTATGTATAATTATTAAAGTAATAATTAGTAGTATTTATTAATATAAAAATTCCTCATCATTTATAATAATACTACATTGAAATCAATAAAATTTTAGAAAATAAATACTTTTAAATAAAGTAGTCTACATATTATACTTTATAAACATTGTGAATCATTTATTTTTCCTAATAATTTGTCTTCGAATATTATGGAATTTAAGAATACATTGATTATTTTAGGATAAACATCTAAATTCCGTATAAAATTCATACAAATTGTAAATTATTGTTGTCCTGTGTTTTGTATCTAATTCCCATTCCAAAGTTCAAAAAATAAATGCGATACCATTTACAATTCCTTAGAAAAATTTTTTTTTATTTAAAAGTGGTCTTAAAAATAGAAAGATTGCCAATTTTTGGAACTTTTTTCTCATAGTTTAATTTTGAAAGACTTCATATTCTATCAAAAGTTGATGAAATTATTATCTAACTTAAATAAGTAATTTAACTTATTTATTTTAGTAATTTAAGTTTAATAAGTGGTTATAGTTTGAAAATAAAATATATATTATTTTAATAATTATGATTAAAAAATTCAATATTTAGTTATCTCTCCTTGGGAGAGTTCGTTTGTTATATTACATTAAGTTTGTTGATAATATACCAATGTATCACGATAATACATGTATTGGTGCAATTGGGTAAGTCGTCGAAATCCGACTCTGTTTATTTTAATTAGGAAATAATTAGAATTGGATTCGAAAAATATAACTTTTAATAAATTTCAAATAAAATATCATATAAATAAACGAATTACATCAATCTAAGATTTTTTAAACCCTAGATGTATCAGACGAATGCACTTATCGATAATAAATACGTTATTTCAAATTTTTAAGTTTTTAACATCAGGACTGTGAAAAAATGTTATTAAATGTTGGGATCAAAATCGATTATTCGATATTGTATCTTTTTAATACTAAATTGATATATGTTTTTTGGTAAATTTTCAAAATTTAGTATGGTATTACACTATCCGTTTGTGAAAAACTGTAATTAGTGTAACTCATTTACTCGTAAAGGTTTTTATTGTTCTCTTTATACGAAACAATTGACCTGTGTTTCTTACTTTTTAACTACCAATACTTTTGGACCATGGCCCTAGGCAATTTTTTTGTAAAAGCATAGAATAAAATATTGTTTAAAATGTTGTATTTAAAGTATATTACTATTAGAATTTAACGTGGCCCTAATTATTCTGAATTATATTTTTCCATATTCTCATTCACTATTTAAATATTTACAAACCAAAAATATTGATTTATCGGAGGCTATGGAACACATAAGTTTAGTAAAGAACAATTAATGTTTATAAGAGAAAACTTTACTCTTGAATTCAAAAAATTGTATAATGATCTTATTCTAAGATTAAATGATTTTGAAATTACCATTAAAATTCCTAGATTAGCAATGCGTCAAAAACACCACATAAATATTCCAACAGATGATGCTGAAGAATATTTTAAAATAACTTTATTTATTCCATTTTTTGATTCGTTCATTCAACAACTTAATGATCGATTTATGAATCATAAAAACATTATAAGTGGATTTCAAATGTTAGTTAAGTATTCAACATTCAATGAAGAAAATCTTAGAGAACTTGTTGAATTTTACGTCGATGACGTTGACAATTTTGATCATGTAAAATCAGAAGTTTTATTGTGGAATCGTTATCTAGTTGACAGTAAAATTCAATCAAAAAATGCCATCGAAATTTTAAATAAATGCAATCCAGATTTTTTCCCAGATGTATTTAAGCTTCTGCAAATACTGGTCATACTTCCCGTCACATCTTACGAAGCTGAAAGATCATTTTTTTCGCTCAAACGCATTAAAACTTATTTGAGAAACTCGACATTAGAGACAAGATTGAATGGTTTAGCTGCTCTCAATATACATAACACCCAAAGAAAAACCTCAATCAATTTTGATAGAGAAATTTTATCAAGGGTTTATGATAATGTTTTATTAATACGAACAAAATAATTATTCTTATGAATAATTATTGTTCAAGATAAGAAAAAAAATCATCATATTGATAAATATATCATAGATTCAATAGTAATGATATATTTATCAAATTGAACAATGAATTTATTATATAGATCGAGGTTTTTCTCTGGGTGTACAATATAGATGTACAAACCGAAGAAATAATAAATCGCTTAGCAACTTCAAAGCGCCGTTTGGACTTTATTTTATAAATTATTTTTAACTTTATTATTTACACATTTACAAAAAAAATTATTATTAATATGATTATTTATGATTACATTTTTGAGTTATAATTTTGGACCCTCCCAGGGAATTTTTCTAGTTGCGCTACTGTTATCTTATAATTGAATTTAACGTTTAAACGTTATACAATTATTATGTTTAACGTTTTTAATTAACGTCATTCAATTTTTTCGTTAAACATTTTAACATCACTACATATTTACGTTTAATATTAAAAGTGTTTGAAACATAATTTACTGCCAGGTAGTTTTCAATATTAAAAATTAATAATTTTTTCTTACATGAATTTTTTTTTAATACGGCGTTTGAAAAAATTCATTTTTGTGTTAATAAGAATTTTTTTACGTTATAAGTTATGTTATGTTTACATATATTTTACGTTTACTTATCTGTAAACGTAAAATATATTTTGGGATTTGATTACATTTTGAACAATTTTTTTTTTTAAACGTTATAATTATAACATTATTCATATCGATTTCTTGTGCAAGATTTTTTTTTAATATAGGATCCGTTGCAATCGATTTAAATTAGCCCAGTGCTTTACATCAGTCTAGTTAATCAACGCCAAGGAGATTTAACCTTTTAAGTAGCACGCATTCAATGTTACATACTATAACTGTGGATTCATCGGTAATTATAAAAATTCCTATCCTATTCAAAAATAAAGTGAACGTCACTCAAGTGACTTCTAGTCACAGCCGTTTCGAGGGGTGTCAAACCGTATAACTTGGCAAAATTTAGTCGTTATTTTTTCAATATAAGAAAATGCTTTAAAAAATATTAAAAAAAAGTCGCACAATTAAAGTGAGACGTGATTTATTTAGGATACCAAGTCAGTCAATCCTAAAAACTATTTTAAATACTGGCTAAAAAGTTGTTATCTACCAGTAATTTTTTAAATTATAAAATTATGTGTGTTGTCATTTTCACGTTTTCAAAGAAATGGATCGTTTATAATTCGCATCATAATTAAGATCATGTACATTTAAATGTATTTGATTCAATATAGATGTTTGTTACAGTCTGGTCTTTTTAAAATTAAGGGCCGATTATTATTATGGTTTGGTTGGGTTTGAAACTGACTTTAGACCAATCTTAATTCGGATCAAACTAGTCTGGTTTTCATAAGAAAAAAATTTGTTCTGAAAAACGTTATTTTTTTCATTATTAAAAAAAAAAAAATAAATCATTAATTTCGAACGATTAAAATTTATTGATATTTTTTGCAAAATATTGATTAATAATACTAGTATTTATAATCAATGGAAAAGTTTATTTTTAATTTTAAATAATTCATGAATCTTTACGATTGATTGTTGAAATATTTGATATTATCTTTACATATTTGCTAATTACTCTAAATAATTTAAAGTTAGTTGGAGTAACATATTGAATTATCTCGAGAAATAGTACAGATATTTTATTACAAAAACGATTAATGTTTGCATCAATATTGTAAGTATATAGTATTGTTTAAAAAACAAAATTCTCATAACGTCAAACATCAAATTTATAAAGTTACGAGGTAACCACGGATAATATAGCCAGTGGGGTAACTGTAGTATAGTTACACTTCATTAACAATAATTTATTACATCATGCTTGATAAGATTCGTTTCCCGAAACAAGTGAATAACAATGCGTGAACTTAAAAAACAAGTGTATCATGAGTGTTCTGTTATATTATATTAACATGGTCGTACTATTATCAAAGTGACTATATTATGCGTTGGGTCAAAGAGCAATTATCAGAAATGTATGTAACCAATTAATCTGGTATCTCTTAACAAATATGTTATTTATATCAAGAAATTTTGGCGGTCAAATGATTTTCTCATAGGAAGGGAATAAACCAATAGTTTACAATAAAATCGAATCCCTTGATTATTACTCAACGTCAGCTTTTATTCGTTTGGTATTTCATTAATTTTTAATTTAAATAAATTCTTGAAGTTTTATGAGTAAATTTTGTTTAACTATCTTAAACTTAATTTAAAATTAAATGTATTATTTAAATTTTGTTGAAATATAAAATAGTTTAAGTATTTTTTTTGTGACACTAAATAATTCTGTTTTTCTAACACAATTTTGCTTTAAAAAATAATATGCCCATGCCTGTCATCTGTTAATAGGTAATCAGAAATCACACAACATTTTTTCTATTACGTTTTACAGATAACTTAAGAATGAGGACCTTTAGTTATTAGATACTTGTGTATAAATCGTAGATATTTGTGAGTGAGAGATATTAATAGGTTCAATAATTATTAAGAATTTTATTAAATATGAAATTTAAACTTTATTTTGTATTTTTATTATGTTTTCACATGGGGTGGTACAGGGAAAAAATCAAATTTTTTTTAAATTATGAAAAAATACTAAAAATACTAAATATCCTATATTACCTTATTAAAAATTCTGAAGTGTTAAAAAAATATTTATTGCGTTTATACACAAAAAATGCTACCTTATAAACTACAAAAACTACATTTATTTATTTTTCTAATAAAAAATAAGTATACAGTGTTCATTTGATAAGTTTATTATGTTATAATATAATCTTGGACGTTTTGGAATTTGAATGAGCGGTTGTGTGGAATAAAGTACCTAGTGGATTTGTTTGATAATAATATTTTAAGCTCAAATTAAAATTGTATTTATGTACTTTGAACGAATAAACTATTTTTTTTTGTAATGAACAAAAAAAAAAGATATTTTGTAATTTAAAATCTTCTAATGTTTTAGGGGTAATCTAGAGGCGTCAAAATCATCAGTACAGGTTTGACTTAAGATAAATTAAATTATAAAAAATAATAATTTTTTGTGAAAGTAATGCTATCATTATTAATTGCAAATCTATTCACTGGTTTAAATAATTGTATAAATTACATTATATAATGAGTAAATCAAGAAATATGATAAATAAAAATTTTTTTATTAATTATTATATTCTAGTATCCCTCATGTTCGGACAACTTTTGATCCAGTCAATATTTTGCGTTACTATTTATATGTAAACAAGTAATATATATTTAATCATAAATATTTATATGTACTATGTACAGATAATTTGATTAATTTTAAGTATAAATCTTACAACTAATTAAATTATCTGTCGTTTTTCATAAAAATATTTAAATTAATTTATAATAAACAAATTTTTATAGGGAATATTTAAATGAAATACAAGCATGCATATTATTAGATTTTCAAATACTACATACACTATTTATAATAAAATTTTTTACTAATTGTAATTTATAGTCTAATATAATATTCCCAGTATACTGACACTATTTTATAATAAAAATTTGAAAAGTGTAGATTGTTATTTGAAGTATTAATACATTTTAAATATGGAATGATACTCATAATTATTAAAAGTTGTTCATTATATTATGAAATTCAAGAGCTATACGATTATGTAAATAATAATACAATTTTTTGCTTTTTCAATTATAATAATATACGTAAAACATTCTTCTTCTTCTTCCTCCTCACCTTAATCCCAACTACTTGGGGTCGGCCACCCTTATCCTAAACTTCCACTAGACACGATCTCTCCATTATTTACGCTCACATCAGTTGTACTCAAATCGCATTCAATAGCATCCCTCCACCTCTTTTTTGGTCTTCCTCTACCTCTTCTTCCTTCAACATTAATTTCTATAACTGTTTTTACAGCTTCCGATTCTTCTCTCCTCATAACATGACCAAACAATCTAAGTCTATTTTCTCTCATATTATCCACGATTGACACTACACTTATACTTCTTATATGTTCGTTCCTTATTCTATCTTTTCTAGTTACTATACTCATCCATCTAAGCATTCTCATCTCTGCTACACTCATTCTCTGCTCTATTTTCTTATCAACCGCCCAACACTCTGAACCATACATCATAGCTGGCCTCACTACAGTCTTGTAGAATTTAACTTTCAGCCTCATTAGAATTCTTTTATCGCATAAGACGCCAGACGCTTCTCTCCACTTCAACCACCCGCACTTAATTCTGTGTCTTACATCCTCGTCAATACCACCACTGTTTTGCACAACTAACCTTAAATTCTTAAAACTGTCCACCTCTCCAATGACGTCCTCGCCTATTGTCACTGACCTCCTCATTTCACCTACCTCGTGTTCTCCTTTTTCAAACTCGTACTTTATATACTCTGTCTTACTTCTACTTATTCTTAAACCCTTTTCTTCAAGGGCTGATCTCCACACCTCTAGCCTTTGATTAATTTCCTCCCTATTTTCTCTTATTAACACTATATCGTCAGCAAACAACATGCATCACAGCACCTCTCCTTATATTTCTCTAGTAATTTCATCCATCACAATAGAGAATAAGTAAGGGCTTAAAGCACAACCTTAGTGCACTCCTACTCTTACCCGAAAACCTTCTGATACTCCTCCTACGCTTTTTACCCTGGTACAAGTGCCATCATACATATCTTCTATTATATTAATGTACCTTTTCGTGACTCCTTTTCTCATTAATGCCTACTTTAAAACCTCTCTCGGTACTCTGTCATACGCTTTCTCCAAATCTATAAATACCATACTCAACTTTTTCTTCTTTTCCCTAAACTTTTCTATTAGTTGCCTCATACAAAATACTGGCTCCATTGTTGACTTACCAGGCATAAATCCATACTGGTTTTTAGATACCGATGTCTTATATCTTACTTTCTTATCTATTACCTTTTCCCAAATTTTCATACTATGACTCATAAGCTTTATGCCTCTATAATTTCCACACTCCTGTACGTCACCTTTACCTTTAAATATTGACACCGCCATACTTCCTCCATTTATTTGGAATCTTCCCTTCTAATATGATTTTATTTAAAAGTTCCTTCAACTACCTTATGCCAACATCGCCTAATATTTTCCATACTTCTACTGGCACTTCATCTGGTCCTACTGCATTATTCTTTTTCATTGATGCCACAGCCTCCCATACCTCTTTCTCATTATTTAAATCTACCAGTCCCTCATTTCACGAGATATCCTCTAATGTCTCTTTTGGGTACTCTTTATTCAATAATTTTTCAAAATATTCTTTCCACCTTTTTCACATCATCACTCGAGAGTACCTTATTATCAACACTTTTTATACACCTTATATAATGATAATCTTTAGACCTTTTCTCTCTTATCTTTGCAAGTCTATAGATTTCTTTCTCGCCTCCTTTTGTTCCTAGCCTATCATACCTCTTAAACTTCGTCTTACTTACTGCACACTTGGCTTCTTTGCACAAGCGTTTATACTTCATCCAATCTTCTCTCCTTTTGCTCTTCTGCCATATTTTGAATTGCTTTTTTTTACTTTCTAAGATTTTTTGAACGTCTTCATCCCACCACCAGGTTTTCTTGTTTCCTGATATTCTAATACTACTCTCACTAACAATGTCCTTTGCAGTATTTTTTACACAACTAGCAAATCTATTCCACACATCATTTATGTCTCCCTTGAAATTCCACACCGTCTTCTCTTTTACCGTCTTTACAAACTCTTTTTCATTTTCACCTTTCAATTTCCACCACCAGATCTTCGATTTTTTCCCCGTGTTTCTTCTATTTTTGTTTATTCTCTTTCCGGTACACCACAATCTACTATCAGTCTATGTTGTATAGTTACACTTTCGCCTGGTATAACTTTACAATCTTTTACTCGTTTTACGCTCTCTCTCTTCCACATAAAATAATCGATCTGTGATCTATTCATCCCACTCTTATATGTTATATAATGTTCTTCCCTCTTTCTAAAGTAAGTATTAACCACAGCAAGATCATACGATACTGCGAAATCCAGTATTCTTTCTCCAGCCTCATTCTTCCTACTAAAACCATACCCCCCATGTACTCTTTCATATCCTCTCCTTTTATTACCTACATGTCCATTCATATCTCCACCTATCACTGCATCTTCATTGTCAGGTACCCCTTGCGTCACCTCATCCATCTCTCACCAAAATACTTCCTTGTCTATTTCATCACATCCTACTTGTGGTGCATATGCACTTATTACATTCAGCACTTTTTCCTCGAATATCAATTTAACAACTATAATCCTGTCACTTTTCTTAGCTACTTCTACTACTTTATTTTTCATTTTCTTATCTATTATTATCCCCACGCCATTCTTTGTACTATACTTTTCTGAGTATATTATTTTATAACCCTCACCTATTTCCCTTGATTTCTCTCCTTTCCACTTAGTTTCCTGCACACAACAAATGTTAACTTTTCTCCTCTTCAATACTTCTACTAATTCTTTACTTCTACCAGTTAATGTTCCAACATTCCAAGTACCTGTTCTTACTTTGTATCTATCTTTCTCCTTTATACACGAGTCCAGTCTACAGTTAAATGGTGATGTCCATACACCGTTGACATTACAAACATTACACATGACTGGTGAAACAGCTACCGCCCAAGTTGTCCGGTTGGTATCAAACACTTTATTCTTTAGGCCTTCTCCATTTTTAACAACTTTCTGTTGTCCCCGCGTACATCCGAGATGTGACAATCCTCCTAAGTTTTGTTCAGGACTACTCATACTTTTTGACAAAAATGTTACGCCGACTGCCAACCTGACGCAACCTCATTAGTCGCCTCTTACGACTTTCAGAGGGGCCGTGGAAGTATTCTTATCCCCTATACACAGGGAAATATCTTAAAATCTTAATAAAAAATTTAATAAATCAATTAATTTTTTAAATATTTATTGTATTTGCAAAAAATGGCATACAACATATTTTAAATTTAGTCCTATGTTGTAAAAATTGATTTAAAAAAAAAGTATAAAATATTGTGTAAATAATAAGTTATATGAATTGGGTTTAACTCTGTATGCAGTTATTATGTTTATATTTAGATATGCTCTTACTTTTATGTAGTTTTTCTTTTTAGGCTCGCTATTAGATAAGTTTCTTCTTCATAAGGCTAGTAATAAATAGTTTAACTCGCAAGTAGAATGTAACGTATATTATCATGTTTAGTTTGTTTCATTCAACATTTTGAATTTAATACAACGTAATTTACCATTGTTAATTTCATTACTCTTTATTTTTACGCATTATTTTCAGAATTGTTTAGTTGTAACTATATATTTTTTATATTTCGAATAACGAATTGTTCAATAGGGACATAATTAAAAAAAATCCATTTAAAAATTTACGTAGTAGCACATATTCTTTGTATATTTATTTGAAAAATATTCTTGATTTTCAATTTGAAGAAAAAAAATTTTTATGTCAAAAGGTACATCAAAATATTACCACCCTATGTGAGAACCACATTAAAAAATATTTAACGAAGTATCATCATATGTTTGGACGAAAATGTTATGATCCATTGGGAGTTCATAAACACACTATACAAAAAAGTTTAAGAGAAATAAGTTTGAAACATGTTTCTGTTATTTCTGATAAATCTATATGTCGTAATTGCTACATCAATATTTTTAAAAAGAATAAAGTAGAAAATGACCCTGTAGAAATATTATCTGATTCACTAAATCAAAGTTTCAATGACAATATTTATTTCGGAAGAAAAATGAATTAATAAAGTTGACTTGGTCTTTAATATATTTATAGGTCACTTTTATTAAACTTAAGAAAATTTAATTCTGCTCATATTCCCAATGCAATTTATAAAAAATTCGAAGAAGTATCTTTTAATTTACATGCTAAGTTAAAAGCTATTCCTAAATTTGCAACTAGCTTTAAAATTTTTCTAACATCTCATTTATTGATATGACGAATAGATTAACAAATTAAAAAAAAAAATTTCAAAAGAAGATAAAGTAAAAATTATTAGTTTGTTGCTCAATTCGTGGTGGTCACAAGATAAAATCTGTAGAGAGTTTAATTTATCCAAATATATGGTTAAAACAACTCGTGAATTAGTTAAAAAAGATGAAATTTTACCTCAACTCTGAAAAAAACTGATAATATTATTAGTAATGAACTAGTGTTACTCGTTTTAAAATTTTATGCAAATGATGGAAATAGCAGGATCTGCTCTGATAATAAAGATTATGTTAATATTAATATAAATCGTTCAAGTGAAAAATAACAAAGAAGTTTATTACTTTGCAATTTAAATTAATTATATGTGAAATTTAGATTAGCAAATCCAAATTTTGAAGATTAGTAGGTCTAAATTGTATTCACTTTAACCTCTAAGTAGTTTATATTGGCTGGATCTTCGAGCACACATAATGTGTGTGTCTGTATTCAACACCAAAATGCAAAGCTTATGCTTAATGAAGCTGAAATTAAAATCTGGTTATAATTACCATTTAAATTGTTTAGTTTGTCATATTGAAAAATATAATTGTATGATGAGAGAGTGCATTATTTGTTGTTTGGATTGGAGTGATAGTTAAAAAAAAAATACTTTCTAAGGAATTAGACGATGCCCCAAAAAATATTATATATAAACAATGGGTTAATACAGATAGAGATAAATTAATAACTAATATTTTATCTATCGATGATTTTATTGATTTATTAAATGAAAAATTGTGTACTTTAAAGAAACATCATTACACATCAAAAATGTAAGCAAGTTTTTTTAAAAAGTCTAAAGAAAATTTATCTACTAAAGATTGCATAGCTCTAGCTAATTTTTCAGAGAATTATAGTTTTGTTATACAGGATGAAATAAAAAGTTATCATTGGGTTAATAAACAGGCTACCATTTATACTTTTGTATATTACTACAAAGCTAATGATGAACTTAAATGTACATGCTTATAAGTGATCACTTATACAATAACAGTTCACACGTTTCAAAAATGTTTTATAAGTGATTTAATGAAAATATGTCCTTTGACAAAAAAATGATAAATTTTAGTGACATTACCGGCAGTCAATATAAGAATAAAAAAATGTTTACGAACATAAGCTATCGCAGTGAAGATTTTGGAATTGAAACAGAAATGAATTTTTTTGCGCCCTGCCACGGAAAAAATGCAAGTGATGGTGTTGGAGCCACAACAAAAAGACAAGTTACTAAGCATAATTTATAGAGTGTGCGTGAAAACCATTTATCAACAACAAAAACAATACATAATTTTTGTGTTAAACATATAATAAGAATAAAATATTTTTTCGTCCTACAAGTGAAGTTAATAAATGTTTGCCATAGATCGTCAACACGTGTAACAATATTGTGTGAAATTTTTATGATTTAATTTTCTGCCCCACTGGAGAAAAACAAAATAAAGTGGCCTAAAAATCGTTGTTTTAGAAATTTGAACATTTTTATATTTGTGTTACTAAAAAGTAAAAATCTCTAAAACACAATTAAATTATAATACTGAATAATATTAATATGATGTAAAGAAAATTTGTAATTCATCGTTCATTATAATTTTAAAAATGTTGTTTTTATTACCAAAAAAAAAAAAAATCTTTCTCAAAATTCCTTAAAAAATTAAAAAATCTTATTGTTAATAATTGGAAATGTTAGAAGACATCATAATGAAAACGTGATAAAATTTTCTAGTCTTAAGTATGAACACAGGTTTCAGGGATATTTTTACGAAATTCCGTCATAAATCTATTTTTATCTGAATTTTTTTTAGGACATTTGTTTTATTTAAATATTAAACTCATGTGTGAATTTTCAAATGGTTGTGCAACCACTCTGGATAATTTGATATGGATTAACCCTGCTGTATTTAATACGCTATTTGAATTGCCTATACAAAATGCCTTTTAAAAATATTGTTTTTGTACAGTATTATAGTATGCATAATAAAATTATTTATTTACTTTAATATAGTACTCATGAAAGATAATAAAACTTAATGAATTTTCTAATATTAATAAATATATGTAATTTAACTATTCTTAATTATGATATGTTTTTATAGGTTTGAAAATTTTTTTAGATAAGATTTATTTTTATAGCTACATGGTAATTTAATCATCGATGATGCCCAAAAAACTGCCTGGATTGACAGTCTTTCATTAATTAAAAGTCAAAACTATCTAACACATTAAGGTAATTTTATTGACGTAATAGTTTTTAGTAAATTACTTTTATAGTAAACTCAGTGCTATTGTTAATTTACGTGTGGACTAGAGTAAAACGCATCGAAAGTCCCCTGTAGGCAAAAACATCCAACTTTCTCTAAAATTCAGGAAAACATCATCATCAACATTTTTATTTTGGGGCTTGAGGTTGGCCATAGATAATATATAATAATTATAATACAATAAAAATATTTATATATGATTTTAAATTTCACGTAGCGTTTGTCAATGTTGATAATTTTAATCTTTAATTCAATATCTGTATAAAATATTCTAGTTAATATATTGAGACCAATTGGTAAAGAGCTCATTGATTAATATTAATTATTAATGAATGGAAAAAAAGACAAATTCATCATCTCGATATAGATGTATGGTAAGATAATATTCTTAAGTTGACATACCTTAGCATAATTTATGCTTAATAAATATGTTATATGTTATATCCAACCTTACTCCAAATTAAGAGGGAGTCACTTTCTGGTTCCTTAAATAATTTTGGATGTATTATACGATTTTTTAATTAGTCCATCGAGTATTAAATAGAGGAAAAAAAGGAACATTTCTTTAATTTGAATAAGACTCAAAATTTCAATTAATTTTTATTCGTGATGTTATTCTTTAGTTATTACAATAAAAAAAGTTTTATTTATGTATTAATGCGTAAGTTAAAACAATCTGCTGTGAAAATATAATATTATATTGTTCTTGTAAAAAAGGTAAAAGTGTGATTAAGAATAATCATCAAATCAAAAATTAACCACAGGCGTAGTACTCCAACTGTACAGGCAGTTCTGGCACATTAGCGGCTACTAGTATTGGACTAATACTGGCATATGTTTGGGATTAGTACTGGAGGTTTTGCATGAACAGTATTACTCCAATAATGACAGTCAGTACTTGACTGTAATTACTAGATCAGTAATTAGACAAGACGCTAGCCTGTACTACACTAATACGGGCTAGCCAATTGTCAGTTCCAGTATTAGTGTAATACTTCACTTGTTGTCAACACTGGTTGAATTTTTAATAAAACATTCTGCTTGGGCATATGTTTATTTAAATTGTTTTCGAAAAATTTGTAATTGTTTGGTTAATATATTTAAAATTAAAAAGTTAAATTCAATAAAAAGTTCGCAAACATTATTTTATTTTTATGAATCTAAGAAAATTATCTTGTCCCTAGCGCTTACTTGTCTCGCTCTCCCTTACATTCTTTCGCATATTACGCAAATTAATTATTGTATAATTTGAAATTATTCAATAATAGGTTTTAGCTTTCCCTAGCATTCTTTATAAGCATTTTAGTATTGACCAGATAAAAAAAAACCAACACACTTTTTTATAATAAACATATAGGTATTTATTAATAACTTAAAATAGAAACATAAAAAGGAAAAATAATGTAATATTATAATTTATCATGATGATTTTAGCTGTACTATTATTTTTATAATTTTTACTATTATATCAATTATAACAATTATTGTTATAACCTATCATCTGTTCATTCTTTTGGATTTACGTAATTATATTTTATAGCAAATTAAAGATTAAAAAAAAAAAAACAAATGAAATTCGAATCCAACATATACTTTTCATATGTATGTAATATTATCTTAATGTATTAAAATAATTTACTAAAAACTATGATATTAAAAAATGTATTTTAAGAAAAACTTTTTTGCATAAGACCTGAAAGGTATTTGGAAGTAATATAATTGTAACAGTTATTCAATTGTCAACAGCAGTTATCATGTACAGTCTACGACTAAAAAGACAGATATTAGAATAAATTAAGTATTTTTACATCTACATCATATTATAATAATAGTAATAATTATACGGTATTGGCGACCGTAACGCGCATTATCACGAGTTGGGTATTCGTAAGATATATACTGGTTAGAACAGATCTAACTGATAATTATTATGACTTTTATAATTAACATTTCGCTGCAATTTTTTTAAACAATTTTTGCGTTATACCTTGACTTTGTTAAAAGTATGTTTTTAATATATATTTAAAAAGATACATTAAATAAAAATAATTTTTTTTATTTAAAAATATCCGTTTTTATTACAAAAAATTTCAATGAGTAAATTAAAATTTTAGGACAAGTGCTTATTGAGTTACAAGTATTTTAATATATTGAGTGAGTATGTAACGTGGGCGGAGTATATGAGTATAATATATAAATATTCACCAGTGCGACATGTTACCCACCCGCTCTACATACACACACTTCGTGGGGTTTCAGTAAGTAAGGAAAAGGAGTTCTATTGTTCTTATTGTTTGAAACAATTGACCTGTTTCATTACTTTTTAAGCACTCTATATATTAAAATATTTGTAGATCAATAAGTATTTGTTCTAAAATTGTTATTGATTCATTCAAATATTTTGTAAGAAAAGCTCTTGAAAATGGATATTTTGAAATTAAAAAAAAATTTATATTGTTCTTAAAAACAAACAATTAAAAAATGTGTTTTAATGTAGTCTGAAGACTTAAAAATGGTTTAAAAATAAATTATAGCGAAACTTTAATTATATTAAAAGTTATAAAAGTTGTTAGTTCGTTCTGTTTCACCCAATATATATAATACACGTTAATACATATGTATTTAAACATATACATTTATATTCAAAAAACTACCTTAAAAGTTAGCGCAAGTAATAAAAAAATACTAACAAGACAATACTAACAATTTGTTTTTAAATACAAGAATCGAGGACGATGATATATATTTATATAATAATAATAATAAAATGTTGCTATTTGTTTAAATAGTTTTTCGTAGTTAAAAATTCATACAATAATAATAATAATATTTTGACCCTGCCGAGTTTTGAAAAACATAGACCAACTCGGACTATATAGTCAACAACAATGCGAAGATATGGACAAGTGTACAATAAGATTGTTCGCCTTAATTACAAAAAGAAAAAAATTTAGAATCTTTCAAACGCTTACTTAAACAATTATAATATTCTTATTATTATTATGGATTTTATCAATGAGAGCCCCACATTAAAAATATAACTACCATGTATTAAAAATAATTACTGATTTTCGTGATAGTAAATCAGAACATGTCTATTATGCAGTTGAATACTTAAAATATTGCAATAGTATGATTGTGCAGTTAAATAGTCTGTAATATTATGACTTAGATAGTTAAAATGAAATTATGTTTAAGTGCCCTAATGAATAAATAATTTGATTAAACTTCAACATAATGAAGTAATAAATCTTGGTCGATGTTCCTANTAAAATGAAATTATGTTTAAGTGCCCTAATGAATAAATAATTTGATTAAACTTCAACATAATGAAGTAATAAATCTTGGTCGATGTTCCTACCTGAAACAACATGAAATCATAGTGTTATAGCACTAAAAACACATTCTTCCTTTTAGATATACATATATATGGAGTGTTTAGTAATCAAGGAAACGGGTTTCTAATGTTTTCATTGTTTGCAATAATTTACCTGCTTTTTTATTTACTGAACATTCTGTATAAGAATTAATGTCAACTAATAGAATAAGTTTTAAGCATTAGAACTGAAACGGGAGACACCCAAAAAGCCTTAATAGTTTCATAAACATGCAACTTTTAATAGAGTCGTGATAATTTTTTTTAAAGCCAATTCAATAAATAATAAAAAAGTAATGTCGGTCCTATACTATAGGGCTATGGGCATTTAAATCTTGAGCCTGACGTACGCTTTGTGTTAATATGTTGTTTGGCTTACTAAGTGGATGGCGTAAGAAAATTAAAATTCTTTTATTTTAAATATATTAATGTGTATACATCAACCTACGCATAATTCGATAGTATTCTTTTAATGAGTATGTGGTCTTTTTATTAATGTCTTCAGACATTTAACAGAAAACTGCCGTTAAATCACATTAAATCGATTATAGTCGGTTGAACGTATCCAGTCTAATTTGAATGATACAATTTTATAAAAAATAGTATATATTTATAGTAATCAATCAATTTAAGTATGTTTATATACATAAAATGTATATGTATTAAAATTATAATTACAAATGGTTATAATATTAGTTATGCCAGAATAATAACATAACAGGTGTTACATTTGAAAATAACGTTAGTAAAAAAATGATACATATACATAAATATATATATATATATATATATATAAGTCGTTAAAAAGTATGTAAGTTAAAGAGGTCGTGCCAGGAAAGCGGCGTGGTTTTTATGGCAATCTTCCCAGTTTTCTATTGCCCAAATTTGTGCTACTCTTGTAAATTAACTATAGGCCTTTTATACAATTCACAGTCGTTTAGTTTAATAGTAGTGTATTAGTATTGGACAAAGAAGTTTATTCGAAAAAAGTAGCATTGTCAAATGAATTCAAGAAGGAATTTTTTTCAGGGGAAGGTTTGAGTCTTTCTTTAATAAGTTGTCTATTATTTATGAGTGCAAATTTAATAGCTGTCTGTATATTTTAATTTTTACTTCATGTAATTGCGATAGAGCTTAAAATTTGTGAGTATCATTAGGAAACTTTAGGATTTTTGCTATTCCGTTCAAAGTAACATCGATTGTTATACATATACACTTAAAAAAATTAATATATTTGTATAAAGCGTACGTTTTAAGTGTATAATGCATTAGTGATGTTGGATATTTTTTAAATGATGTACTCAATAACTTCTCAGACCTTTCGAATAGTTGTCTACTTTTGACAGTCTTCAGGGAGAAGGCAATTTTTAGTCACCTCTCAAGTCGTCTACAGGGATGTCTCTAATTTTTTGTTGAAAAGAATATTTATGTACATTTTTCTTGATGTTTTTTTGTTGTTTGAACATTTTATACCTGTCATGTATTTCTATAAACCCCAAAACGCTCGTAAATTTGTTGAACAGTAAACGAATCAATCTATGTGACATTTTTATAAAATTTATAAAAAATGTAAGTTTTTTAACTGCTTAGAGAGTTACATAGAATAATGTAACTGATAATTTTTGAGATGGATTCGACCACACAGCAAGTTAAGTTCAACATGCATTGACTGATAATATTATGGAACAATACCACGGGGCTCTCGAATGATTAAATTTACATAAAATATAATAATTATATAACGATATTGATGATAATAGTAATAGATATTCGATGTAATAAATAATGCACTACTTGTAAATCTATCGAAGTACATAATAATAATTATAATTATAAAACATAATACAAATAAATAAATGACAATAATAATAATAAAAACGGCCATCAGGACACGCTAGAGGAACGTGATGCGCACTTGCGGTTTGTTGGCATCAGTGGAAGACAGAGACGGGGACGGTGGGTAGGACGCCGACCCGTAGTCTATCTCGGAGTTAGGGTAAGACCCGGGCAGGTTAACCACCACAGACGACGTACTCGAGTTGGGTTTGGTACCCATTGACACCATGGACGTGGAGCCACCGCCACCAACACCACCGCCGCCGCCTCCACTGCCGCTAGCAGCCGGTGTCTTCTTGGTGGACGACGGTGGTATGTCACAGCTATTGTACTCCAGAGAGTTACTTGACTTACCACCCGATATATTTTGATTGCGTTTCATATGCACTTCCATCAGTTCTTCTTCGTTGATGGGCTCACCGACAGACTCCGGCGAGCTTTCGCGTTTGTGTTTCTGAAAAAGAAAATATTATGTTGTATTATTGGTTTCTACTTTTGCCAATAAACTGAGACTGTATTTTCCAATTAAAAGTTTATCTTAAGGTGCAAATTATTCTACGACAATGATACACAAATACAAATAGTAATCACATTAGTGAAATTTTTCTACATTTAAAGAAATAATATATTTGATTTTTATTTTTTGTGTCAAATACAAAAATAAATAGATAACTTTGTACGATACTTATGTTTTTAATAAATACATCCTACTTCTAAAATGCAATAATTCTTAATTTAAATATAGATATGAACATTTATGTCATGCTTAAACTATTTGATTTTTGTTCATCTATGAGATGATTACACAAGTAAATAATTTTTATTTATTTATCATTTTTACATATTCTATGATGAACTTGTATTTTTTCAATTTATTAAGATTTTATTATAATAAATACTAAATATAAAATATTATTAAATAAATTCATTTAAATATTAATATTTTCGCTCTATAGAAATAATATATTGAATAATTATAATAGACTGTGACTATAAAGTTATAATCGATGAGAGAGTATGAATAGCATGAAGAGGTAAAGAATTACTTAATACAGTTCTATTTTTAGAGAGTAAAGGACGGTTTAGATAATGTGAGAAGTACAGTAAGGAGAATAATTAAGAGTTAAAAAATAAGTATAGGCTGGTAGTTAATTGTGATCAAGACGACAGTATTTATTTACCTATATATATTCAAATTGTATAAATGGATAAAGGGGTAAAATGAGAAAAATATTTTTATACCATTTAGTGTAGTTTAAAAATGAAGCAGAGTATTTACATTGCCTAGAACTTAGAAGGAGTTTATTAAAAGAGCAGAGAAAATCTTTAAAAGAAATAAAATTAATTTGTTATTTCATTGTCATAAATATCTATATGACAAAGAATCTGAAGTAAAAGAATCGATTTTATAAGTGAATTGATAATAGTGATGAGAGGTCTGATTTTATAAATTATAAGAGAGGATTTAGTTGAGAGAGGTCTTAACGATATTGCTAAAAGACATAATTGTAAGTACGAGAAAATTATTTAAGTTGTACTAGGGACTGATTTACTATATTGAAGAGTATGATACCATTACAGTCGACTGTAAAAGAGGAGCTAAAATTTGATGAATTTGTATATAATTTTTAATAATTACAGCTACAGTAATTATTTCATAGTTTTTTTTGCTAAAAGTAAACATTTAGAAAATCAATTTTTTATTGTTAATTTTAAACTATGTTTAAAAAAAACATATTAAGAAGTAAAATATTGTCGTGTTCATGGCGAAACTGTGTAACTCATTATTTTAAAATTATTCAGAAAAAAGAAAGTAAAGTATCATTTTTTTAGTGCTAACAATAAAATTAAGTTTTTTTATAAATTACATTATCTCAAGAATAAATTCAAATTTTTTAGTTCAAAAGCGCTTGAAATATGTATTAAAATTATTGTTATATATGTATCAAAAAAAAAAAAAATCTCAATACTTTGGGTGGTGCGGTTTTTTAACAGAAACGACGATTTAGTAAAGAAATTATAGTTATGAAGAACTCAATAACAATTATACTGTTTAGGTTAAATGTTATTTAGTTATTACAATTGTAAAAATAATATAAAAAATGGCTAGAATAACAGAATGTAATATATAATATAATCATATTATAGTTTATCTTAACAAATATTGAATTATTCAAACCATATTTCAATTAATAGTTTTATTCAACTTATCCATCGTAATTCTAACAGTATTTTTTCCTATTTTGTTATAGCATTAGTAATGTAATTAAAATAATATTAAACTACGTTTAGCTTATGAAATAAATTCTGTTTATTTCTTGTATTATGTTAGTAAACATTTTAAAATACTTAAAAACTTGCTATGTGGTGTATTCACTATGTTATAATAACTTCAGATTAGTGCAGAAAGATAGAAAATGAAGAGCTCTAAAATAAAACTATTTTCTGTTGTGATATTGTTAATGTTAATTTAGCGAACTACAGTAAGATAAAAATTAATCAACTACAATAATTATATTCTATTGACTACCATTCATTAAGACAAAAAAAACTATAGTCTACTTATCATACCCGCGTTGAATAGCTATTTTTCTACGTGTCTTAATGAAAAATAGAAACTAACAAACCTGATACCGTGGATTACAGCATCTTGTGCAGCACGAGCTTAGGAAGTTCACCCTGCTTAAAGCCGAATGGCTTGGGCTCAGAAGGGGAGATGGCGAGCACGGCCTTTTCGATTGAACGTTATACGGTACTTCAAGCTCCACAAATTCTCTATCCTAGCAACCGAAAAAAAAAAATAATAAAAATAATCATAAATACAACGGAATTCAAATTTGGTTACAAGCTACATCAATGTAGCCGTATTAGTATTGAGTTAAACAGTCAGGATAAACTATGGCCAAAAGAACTGTTTATAATAGTACAAGAAATCAGTCTGAATTAACAAATTGTAATTTGTAAGCTTTTCGACGTCTATCGAATCAAAGTATTTGAAATAATTACTGATAAAATTGAATTGATAATGAACTAAACTTAGTGAAAAAACGTTTCGTCTTAATTCTGTGACATGAACGTGTTTAAAAAAGATTTAACTGTAAATGTTTGGTCGAATATTATTATTAAACCAATCAAAACTCAAAGATAAGTTTATTAGTGATTCAAGAATATACTCTAAGCTAGAGACGTATTATAATTTCCTAACTAAAGAATATAACTATAAGATAGAAAAAAAATCCCTGTTTATTTCTCTCGTTTGTTCGTCTTAGTAATTTTTATTCTTCATTTACTCATTTGAGACGTCTAGTATTGAAAAATTATTTGCTTACAAATCGTAAGAGAAGTGTTAACGTTTAAACAACTAAACAAAATTTATTAAAATTGTTGTTTTTATAAAAAAATACATTAAAATAATTATAAAGCTTTATATAATATTAAGAAGGCGTAAATTTTACTAGTACTTTCCTCTGTTCTATAAATCTTTTATGTATATAGTTGAAGTGATATTCTGTCTTTTCATTCAAAAGTCAGTATATCATTTATCAAATATTCAAATCTGAATGATGACAATATTACTTTAAGAATAATGTGTAAAAAAAAAAAAAAATAGAGTAGCCTTACGTTGTTATGTGTCATACAACGTTGACACAATTCACTGTCTAATTAATTGTATAGATATTTAGGTTCAATGTAAAGATAATGGTTGTAATAGGATTTTATTTTAGGTAGTTGAGTCTCGTTTTACTGTAATGAATTCTTTCAAGTGTCTTTAATAATATGATGTAGACATGCTTAGTATTGAACAGAATACATTCATTTTTTTTTTTTTTTGAGGAAAAATATTAATTTTCGTTTTATATTGAAATGTTTGATGTCCGAATGAATAATTCTTTTTTTTAATTTATGGTTATAAGATTATTTTTAAAAATACGTATGATGTACCTAGTTAAAAAGATCTAAGTGACAAAAAATTGATTCCGAGATAATTGGATTGAAAAGTTGAGAGAAATGTTAGGAAAAATATTTTTTGCAAATTTCACAAAATATGCGATTTGTTTTAAGAATTTATGACAATTGTGCTTCATTTTAAAATATCCACAATTCTCATGATAATTTTTATCAAAAAAGTTATTCATTCTTTACCATGATATAATCATTTGACCGACATTGGGTAATTCTAACTTAAATTAACTTAGAAATAATCAGTGAAGATTTGATGCTTCCAGCTATAATTTGAATCTAACACATGTTTTGCCAAACAATAGTTACATATTTTTGATTATTAATGTTGGTTTTTCAAAGATTTTAGTATATAAACATGTTAACTTGTATGTATGAACTTATCTAATCGCATTAATCAAGATATACGTAGATTACACATGAATAAATACTCAATATTCAAGTTTTGTGCATTATTTTTCTTGTAAAAGATATTTTGGTGCTCATAAACTTTTTTTGAAAATAAAGAAGTATCCATAAGTTTTATGCGCATTTAGTGCAAAAATCTAATTTAAAATGGAAATCCTTTTGCCTTGGAATCACTCTTAAAGATTAGCTGCAAGAAAGTTTCATTTTAAAACCCAAGAAGGTAACGTACAAGCGGTTGTTAGTTATTTCAGTAATACCGACAGTGAAAAATGTTTAAGTAATTTTTGAATAAATTATTCTTAGGCTTCTTTAATAAATTAACAATTACATGAACAGTAATACAAAGCACAGTTCAAATGGAATTTAAATATATTTATATTATGGAGTAAATTAGTTTATCCTCATTCAAATTTAAGTAATATTGGATATTTAAAAAACGTACAAAATTTTTCTTAACATTTCATTACATTAATAAATCAAACTGTTTGACTTAGAACTTATTAATTTATATAATAGAATTATTCATATATAATTAAAACCTTTATTTAACTAGTCATTTATATTAAAAGAGTTCAAGCGAAATTAATAATTACAAAATATATTCATAAGCTAAAATTTGTGAGACTTTTAAATATTATTAATTGTATAAAAATAACGACGAATATTCTACCTTCATTAATTTCGTTTTTATATTTGAGATCTGATCTGATAATGATATTAATTTCAAAGGTAATAATAAACTTGATCATAATTGGATGAGGTATACATTATGAAATCTACCATTAAATTTTAGTCATGTAGTATAATGTTCCGAAAAATAATTTTTGAATGTTGTTATATTCTGCATAAGATAATGGTGTTAATAAAGTTATTGTAATTCGTAAAAAAAATTTTACATATGGTATATATTTTCTTTATTAAAGCACTATTAGAATATCATATTATAGTGACTTAACTTGAGCAAATACAAAACCGTTTGATTTTAATTAACACTTAGAATCTACTCTAAAAATGGTAAATTACAACTTTTTTGATATGCTTTGTTTAGATAAAATATGGTTATTGGTATTGGTGCCTTAGTGTAACTAGCCTAGATCTCATCTCTTTAACAAATAGAAAAACATATCATAAGAACTTGTGGTCAACATTTAAAAAAATATTTTTAACATAAAATAAAAAATATTAGTTGAAAGAGAAAAAATCATATATTATCTTATTTCTTAAAAGGGTTTCTTACCTACTAGAAAGAGAAAGAAAACAAAGTTAGATCTATGATTGGTATGAATATAAGGATCTAAATGACATCAAAATAAAATAGTATTGCGATATTTGAAATCTATAGTCCTTAAAATCATTTTAATGTTATAGAACTAATGTTATTGTTCAAATAAATGTTAGTTTTTAAAATTTTAATATTTGTATAATATTAAAGTGAATAAGTGTAACACATGATAACATTTATCATCGACTCAAGCCGATAGTTAAAATATAAATTCAATTCAGCATAGGTATGTACATAATGTGTACAATATTCAACTTTAAAAATTCTATATTTGTGTATCTTTGATGGTAATCTCTAGCCAAACATGTTACAAATAGAAAGTATCGCGTTTCAAATTGACAATTTATTTATTGATAAAAAATGATAATCTGATGCTCAGTAAAATATTATCCAAGTAATAAAATAAAGGTCGTTTGAGCCGATACTATCTTATTTGTGCGTTCGAATGTGTCGGTACGCCAAAACAAATTGAGTTGAAATGTAACAAAAAGTAAAATATGTGTACAAAGTAGATCGGTACAAAGCGGTTTTCTAAAAGCTATCAATTACATTATGCAACCAGTCTTATGTAAACTGAATCTATTGCGATGAGCAGTAAATAGCTATTCATTGTTCAACACCGATACACACAATTAAAAGTTTTGAAACACGATGGGCTACGTGGAAACCTCTACAGTAAGCTGTAACACCCATGTACTTTATCAAAGACAACAGCAAGCGTATATATATTGAAACTTTGAAACGAAAACCCACACTACTAGTAATATTGTATTTTGTGACAAAGCATAAAACAATGACACTCGATTAATTTGTTCACTTAATGGTTGTACCATCATAATCGCATTTAATTGAACCTTTGCTTATAAGGTAAAATAGAATTTCTAATAAAAAAACTAAACTACACCTCGCGATAGTCAACATATTGATTTAAACTTTGATATAATCTCGTATGCTGTACGTCATTGTTGAATATTTTGGACGTTCTTAGCTACCTTCTAATTTAATTGTCAATAAAACGACTACAGCAAAGCAAAAAAAAAAAAAACATTAACTCTGATTTACTCGAAGACACGTGTCATTTTCTATAGTAATATTGTAATAGTGCCAATATTGAAATAACATAATTTATTTGTTTGACAAATAAATTAGTTGAAATTTAAAACTTTTGACTAGGTCGAGAATCTAGTTGTATCGGTTTCTTCTGATTTTAGAGTACCACTTTTTATATTTATTTGAACCCAGGATAAACTGATTGACTGAATGAACTACATATTAGTCTATCATAAATGAAAAATATATGTGATAAAGTTCTAAGCTTTTATGTATTATTATTCTTTTAGAATTTAACGATTTATATGATATTTAATCAAATTTTAACTCTACTAGTAATGTTACACTCTTTGCTGTGTGATTCATTCGAGTTCAAATATTGACAATACGTTTCGTTTTTTGATCAATGGCGAACACACGCTGGTTGATGGCAAAACTGTTTGCCGAGGGCGGTGGACGTCCGGTTGTTTGTACATACCAGACGAAGGGGAAAAAATAGAGTATAATATGTGACGCGACAAAGCGGATATGAAATATTTATAGCGATATAATAAATTGTACAAACATACACAAAATTGGGTAATTTACTCACGGTGGTTTTTTCCAAACATCGTAGTAAATGATGATGTTGCAGCTCAAATATGTCTTCTTCTCTGTAATTTTCATCAAGTTCTAAGCCGGACTCTTGAGCCGCCATTCTTGCCTCGGCCGCCTTCTTTTTGCTCACGAACGCTGCCCCAGACGATGCTTTTGCTATCCTGATTCTCGCCAGTCTCGCTTTCTGCAACACGCCCAACAAATCATTCGGTCATTTTTAGTGATTGTACCATAATTATTGTGTTCTTTTAAGTTTTTCGAATTTATGATTTTATCGATCATTGGCTTTCGTTAATTTGGATTTTATTTTTTAAGACAACGTTAAAAGAACTTACCCTTTGCGCTTTTCTCTTGTCCGCTCGTTGATTTTGGTGGTATATGCGACTGAAATTAGAAACGATTACAGGAACAGGTAGAGCAATGACGAGCACTCCGCTCAAGGAGCATACTCCCCCGACAATTTTACCAGCTATTGTCTCCGGAACCATGTCACCGTACCTGCAAAGGACAACGATAAATTATTATTACTTGCCAACGTTAGGCCGGTGGAATATCATTATGAAAGTATTGTTTTCGTCGATTCGATAAAACCGATCGCGCGTGGGTAACATAAATATCGGCAAGACTTTCCATGTAAAGACATTTGACAGAGTATTGTAACGGTTTGTTAAGTACGACAGGCAAACAAGAGGAGATTACTGAAAAGTTTGAAAGCAAACTCTTAAAGATTCTGGAATTTTCCCAACAAAAGAATATTATTTTTGGCGACCGTTTTGTGGAAGACAGCGAGTGGTTTAATCATCAATTACAAAGCTTTAAACTCCGTAGAGTATCACTATAAGCTTCTCAGGCTTAAAAAAAACACCATATCGATTGGTAATGCGTGTCACCGAAGTGTAAGGTTTATCTCTTTATGAAGAATATCGATGTAACCGTGTACATTTTTTATATGTGTAAGTATGTCTCCGTGATGATATAGATAGATAATGAATATATATGTAGTATGTGCGTTTTTAAAAACACAATACAATGTGTAATAAGTTTCAAACCATAAGAATAGCAGTGATACGATGTTTTTTTGTGAGTGAATTTATTAACTATTTAATTAAAAAAAAAACACCATAGAACTGCATTACGTATTGGTAAAAGACCAGCGTTATATACTCACAAAAGAATAGCACCAAATATTTGAAATTATAATGTTGGATAGTTTTGGCCAATAAAATAATATACACCTTTATGCTACATCATAATTAGAGTGGCATATATGTATGCCACTCTAATTAAGTTCTAAGTGTATTATCAAAACTGTTCAATATAGATTTTTTTATAAACATTTTTAGAGATTTTTATAATTCATTATACAGTTAGTAAGTCCTAGCAAATTTCTATTTTTGTAAATTGATTTGATATTGCGATTAGAGCTTTTCGTTGTTGTTGGCGTCTTTAATGCAAGTCTGAAATGTATATAAAACGATTGTACTATCAAATAAATTTAAAACCCTTTTCGAAGAAAATAATGATAAAACCAAGGACATTGAACACTGAGCTTTTTTATTTTTATCATGTATAACAACTGTTGCTTCTTAGAAAAAATGTAAATAATAAAAAGAGAACTCCGAGTTTTGTAGTGGCTTAGTAAATAAAATTGTTTTCCTCGGAAAAAGGACAATAGTTGTAAACCATTTGTATTTGAAAGCTGTGTGCAATTAACAATATATTTTCATTTTGAAAACATAACCCTTCCAGAAATGGCTGTTGTCGTCAACAAAAAATCTATATCATGGCATGACTACTGCGCCGACTGTAGTTTTACATGACCGTTGGTGTTTTAAATGGTTAAAAAAAACATTAGTAGTTTTGATGAGGACAAAATTAAATAAAAAAAAAACTTTAGGTGCCTTGTTTCTCGAATTGATTGAATTGCTTTTAGACAGTTATCGAAGGGGTTTACTTTTGGTGTGATTGTAGTTAGTATAAATTAGCATTAGGAGCACGTCTTGAATTGAAATCAATAGGTTCATTCATCGGGCACACATCATTAATTCTGTTGTTTCAAACAATAACGTAGTAGAGCGAAATATTGAACAATTTTACAGTATATATTTTTTAATTTAAATGTTAATATATCCGCATAGAGGTTGTTAAAATAAAATTTGACTTCATTTAATCAAATTAAAAACTATTTTTGGTTTTTTTTCATAAGCTTTGATTAAGTTATTTTATTTATAATCTAAAAACAATGGATCTTCATGAGTTATGGAATCAGCAACTCCATTGCTGCTATTTAGTCTACAATTCAATTAATGAACTTTATTGCTGCTATATTTCATAGTAAAATAACTTTATGAGAGTTATTTTATTATCAAGGAATATAATTATAAATAGTTTTCTGTATTTTTTTATTTCATGGATTTTTTTCTCAGAAAATTAATATATATATATCACGTATTCAACAACAACTTTTACTCAAAATCCGAAGACTTATCTTTGGGACACTAGATAAACTATTTTAATGTAAATCGAGAAAATAAAAAAGTATTGTCTCATGTTATTGTTGTTACTCTAAAAAGGGGTTTCAATGACGGCTTTTGTAAAACTAAATCCACCGAGATAAATATTCGAATGGTTTTCAAGACCAAAAGATAAATATAAAACTTAATAATAACAATAAGACAAGAAATATTTTACAACGTTTTTTAATTTTGAGATATTTCATAATTTTATAAAAATAAAATAATTTGATTCTAGTCAAGTTATCGTATGCACTTGAGATAAATCGACGAAGAGAAGGAAAGGGAAAAACTATGACAGCATAGGAAACCTCCATTTAATTACATTTCATATAATGTTTACTTTTAATTTTTATAATTGCTGTAGTTTGGGTGGGTAATGTGATTAAAGCTGACAAAGTGCCTTTGATTTGTTATGTAAAAATCTCATCATAAACACAAAAAAGTTAACAGTTTTTTATGAATTAGTTTTAATGTCTGTATAAACATTTACGTTAGTTCAATAAACTGCGCTGTCGCAGTTGTGCCCTTGTTATCTGATTGAAAATACTGACTTGATAAATTTTTGCCAAAAACTCATTTGCTTAGGCTTGTGACGCTTTAATATGCCATTTAACGTTAAGCGGCGCGAAATCTTAATAGTGATTAACGCCGCTACATTTAGTTGACATGTATTTATTTAAACAAACTATATCAGGGTCACCATTTCCTTGCAAAACTATAAACGTGTAATTTTTTGTAATTCAGTTTAAATTTAAAAATGTAAAAAAAGAAAATGTTTTATACGAGTTCATTTTAAAATGTACTAATATTTATTGATTTATTCCTTAATGAAATCTAATCAAAATTATTTGTCTGTCTGGGAGCGAAATCGAGATTAGACCAATTGATATTAATCCTCATTCAAAATTTTTATGAAATATTGTTCCTTATTGATAGTGCCTATAAAATAAAGAACTAGGTCAATACGATAAAGATTTAATTCCTATTAAAAATGACACATTCGATTGGTATAACTAAATATTTTCTATTATTTTTATTACTCGAATAGTATTTTAAATATAATTTATTAAAATTCGGAATTAAGCAAAGTAATTTTTTTAGAATGATAACAAAGTTTTTCAAGTTACTAAACAACTTTAATATTTGATTTGATCGGTTGAGGTAACTTAAGGAAAGGCAAGTTACCATTCCAACATTTTAGTTACACTTTGATTAAAATATTATTGTTTTGCAAATTACTTTTTATTTATGTCAGCTTTCATAGTTGTCGATTGATAGACTATGAATTATACGTGGCAACAGCGGCAACTAATTAAAATTAAACGAATAATGTAATATATTACATTCTTTTTAATCAAAAAAAGTTTTATAAACGTTTTTGATTCATTAAAATTTCTGATGCGACCTTTTTATTGGTTTCATTTTAATGTTGAAATTTTATTTTTATGATAAATTATATTATTAGTATGTTATTATTATAATAATATGCATTTATAATAAATATAATGGTAATTTGTTAGACTAACTAATATTACTCAATGCAATAAAATATTTTACATAAAATTTATACCTTTTCTTAAAAATATCATGTTTTTTATGAATGTTTAAATAAAATCAAAATTCCTAAAAAAATGTATGAAAAAATTTTATTTCCAGGTATATTTATAAATTAATAGTTTGATATCATCTTTTATGTGAAACTGATAAACAATATTCCCTTTAAATATACATGTTTTATCATTATACCAACCCAATTTAAGCCGCTAAAATTTAAATACAAAGAAAATATTTTATCACGTTATAAAAAGAATTACTCAAATTTGTTCGGTAAAAAATTATTTACAAATATATTAAATGAAAATGTTTTCATAAACATCTCAAATGACTAGTTTTTAAGCGGTCGCTACTATCACAACTTAATATTTTTTATTTAATGAAATTTCGGAAACTGAATATAAATTCTAAAAATCCCAATAAGTTAGATAAAATATAATCTTCTATTAATATCTTCTGAAATCTAAGATAAAAATAAAATTTTTAATGTAGTTTTATTTTTTTGTTCCATTAAATAGAACCACTAATTTCTAAGGTATGTTAGATTATGGTATCGGCACATAGTTTTTAACTACAATATGATTAATATTTAAATATTTGGACATTACTTCTGTTTTTTTTTTAATAAACGGTCATATTTGTTAAGAATGAATTATCATATGATCTTTAGTTGTTTAATTATTATTGTTACAAATATACAACAATCTTAATTGTTGAAGCCGAACAAAAAAAAAAAAAAACTAATATTATCTCTGTTGTAAATGTTTAAATTCAGTAAAAACACTTAATGATATCAATGAATATCTAGTTTGATGTTAAGTTATGACAGATTGTGGTATTATTTTATTTGGTAGTAGGAGATATTGAGTTTTATTTTTGGATCATCTACTTTAAACTTAAACACATAGCTTATTCATTGAGCAAGGCGTGCTTGAGTTTAAAGGCGTCCAAAATAAAATTCCACCGACGAAATGATTGAAAAGAAAAAAAATATATCATCAGATTTTTTTTCTTCGCGCTCTAAACGAAAAAGATAGTCAATTATGGTTCATTATGACGATCGACCTAATCGTCTCTACCAAAGCAACGTGCCGGACAAGCGCACGACAAGCATTCGGATCGAGCCAAGTGCGGTCCATCATGATGTCTTGGCACCGGTCGGAGCGGTTACTGCAATAAATTATTTTTGGTCGCGTATCGACCGCCTTCGAATAATATTATTATTAAACGAGTACAATACACAGCCGTATAATATCATCCTTGTGAATCCCTTGCGGTTTTTGAAAATTTAATTTGCCCTTTTATCGGGTAGAAGAAAACGGGCAAAGTGATAGCTTGTAAAAGCATTAACGTGTGAAATGGCCGAGGGCATAAACACAGTGCCCAAAGCTATTACTGCATTGAATTCCAACGAGTGTATTCTGCACG